TTCATATCTCAGTGTCAGACCTTGTTTCAGTAAAACATATATCAGTTCTCATAATCATAGCAATCACTGATTGCACAGTTCTCGGTTATGTTTCTTATTAATATACACAGGTTGATCTTTATGCACACATTAACTGCTGTGGAAGACCTCAGGCTCAGAAAGCGGGTATTCATGATGTTTTGGTATGTATGTGTAGTTGTAGAAGATGTAAAGTTCTACCTCTGCATCTGTGTGATGCAGTGGTGCCCGGTCTGGACACAAGACTCCAGTACAGGAAACCATGTTCATCAAGGAATGTTCCCAACAAAGTGATCCAAATTCTGAATTAATGGATGAAAGGCAGAGCTTCTGAACTAACAGGGTCCACACTAACAGGTGTTTACACTGTACTTTGTCTTGAGCTTGTCGTAAGAGGCGACTAACGGGACCGGGAGTTCAGACTCGCTGACTCGGTTGATGCATGTCCCAAATGGGTGGATCGATGCTCTTGCTGTCTATCACTGGATTGTCTGGTCCAGTCTCGATTATTTACAGACCGCTGTCATATAGCTGGAATATTGCTGAGTGCAGTGTTAAACACCAAACAAACAAACTTTGTGCAGAACCTTCTGATAGCCACTTCACATTTGTTTGCTTGTCAGAACAAAATATATTTTCTTCCTAATCCTCACTCTATTGGCAGTTTATACTTTAAGCTCAAAATGAAAATCTATAGTTCTCCTCTACATCAGATGATTTCTTAAAGATGTCATACTGGAAGAGGAGGATTAAGTGGGTGTTCTTTACTTCAGATATCCTTTGGGTAATTCATGTAATTTTCACCTCTATTTTGCCTTTTACTGTCTGTGGAATCTGTTTCAGCAGATAATGGACTGATTACTCCATGACGTTTTATAGTTGATTCTGTTTGAATCTTTGTAATGTTGAACCTTTAAATATCATTTCTATTTTTGTAATGAGGCACATGTCAAACATTGATAACAGTCATGGAACAAAATCCAGCAGAACTCTAGACACATTGATCTTGTCCCTAGAGTTGCTGGTGACATTTTATTCTGATAGTTATGACATGAAGTATGAAAATTAAGGATTGAAATTAGATTTGTTTGACAGAATATTTGTTGTAATATAAATCATGATACAGGTAATTTTGTATTGTCCACCTGTATCAGAATTGAGGAGTATGACCTTTGTTGAATATTTTCTCTTGCCTTAACATGCTCATCTTGATTCGTATGTAGCACTTTTTCATCATAGTGTGAAACATTTTACAACTAGATCACTGGAGTGTGTGTTTTAAGGGAATGTAAATAAAACTTTAATTTATTGTGATTTTATAAAGGTGTTTTTTTTATTTCATTGACCATCTTTGCTGTTAATAACAATTTAAGAATGGGAAGATGTATGTGAGTGAAAGAGTATTTGAACAGTATTTCATATATATCATGACCTGTCATCTTGATCACCGCCTTCTTGTGGGTGGAAAGCGAGCAGAAATGCAGGTCTTAGGTGTTTAATGATACCTATGAGCACAGTATGGTGCTGACAAACCAACAAACGAAATCAGGGCAAGTCTGGGATTCGAACCCAATTATAAGTTCCGGAACCCTAAAAAAGACATCTTTGCCTTAGATAACTGTGACACCCCTGTCCGAAGACTTAGCCTGAGACAAACATATTTGCCCTGTTTACTATTTTGGATAAGAATAGGTTCCCAATACATCATATTTGTAAGAGCTGATGGTCAGGTTCTATGATTTGGCTATGTCCCAAGGTGCTAATGAAGTCACTGACTGATTTGTTTGTTGTTTAACACCACATTCAGCAATATTCCAGCTATATGACGGCAGTCTGTAAATAATCGAGTCTGGACCAGACAATCCATTGATTGTTATCATGAGGATTGATCTATGCAATTGGGATATGATGACAGGCATCAACCAAGTCAGGGAGCCTGACCATCCGATCCCGATCCCGTTAGTCGCCTCTTACGACATGCATAGTCGCCTTTTATGGCATGCATGGGTTGCTGAAGACCTATTCTTCCCTGGATCTTCACGGGTCCAGTGACTGATTTGCCTGGTCCAGACCCATTATATACATGATCCCCTGATGTTGCTGGCTGTAGTGTCAAAAGATTCACTCTCATATTTTCCTTTTAATTCATTTTATATCATCCCTATAGTTACTTCACACACCTTAACCCCCTGCAACCCCTGGAGATCAGTGTTAGAAGTGACCTTCAGCAACCAAGCATGTATGAGGCACTAAGACTAATGACGTTGTTTGGTGAGGCTCGCTGATTTCATTGATACATGTCATCATATTCCAACTGCGTAGATGGATGCTCAAGATCTCAATCGCTGGATTTTCTGGCGCAGAATCGATTATTTACAGACCGCCCTCATTGTTGAGTGTGGTTGGTTGGTTGGTTTGTTGTTTAACACGGCACTCGGCAATATTCCAGCTATATGACCACGGTCTGTAAATAATCGAGTCTGGACCAGACAATCCAGTGATTAATGTCCTGAGCATCGATCCACGCAATTGGGATCGATTACATGCATCAACCAAGTCAGCGAGCCTGACCACCCAATCCCGTTAGTCGCCTTTTATGGCAAGCATGGGTTGCTGAAGACCTATTTTACCCCAGAATCTTCATGGGTCTGTTGAGTGTGGCGTTAAACAACAAACAGAATCACTCACCTTAGGTGAGGTAAATGAAATGGGGTTTCAATGAAATGGGGCACGCCAGATTGTGGGTTTGAATCCCGGTTCTCCCCGATCATGTATTTTATGTTTGTCAGCACAATACCTGTGCTCGTGGGTATTACCGAAGAGGTAAACATCTAAGACCTGCATCACCTCGGGCTTTTCTCACACATTAAGCTGACACCCGTGATATAAATGGAATAGTGTTAAAAGCGGCATTAAACCCAACTCACTCACTCACCGTGTGTGTGTCTGTGTCTGTGTGTGAGACCAGTGACCTTCGCTCTCTAGGCAGGGCACGGTCCACTAGGAAGGAGGCGGTTCATGAAGATATTAAGATACCAAAGGTGTACAAAGGTGAGAAATCTGCAACAAATATGCCAACATCGGTACACCTGAACTATTTAACTATTCTTCCTGGTATCTCTTCAACATAGCGGGGGGCACGGGGGCCCAGTCGTCTAAGGCGCCGCGATTCGCTGTGCAGAGTTGCGTCCCTTTGGCACGCCAGAAACCTAATATAAGTATCATTGTGTGGTCGAATCCCGGTTCGCCCCGATTATGTTTCTAGGTTTGTCAGCACCATACCCGTGCTCGTGGGTTTCGACGAAGTGGTAAACGTCTGAGACCTGCATGACTTCGGGCTTTCCTCCCACATGAAGCTGACACGCCGTGATAGAACTGTAATAATGTTAAAAGCGGCGTTAAACCCAACTCACTCACTCACTTCAACATCGCTGGAGGCTGCAAATACATGTAGTTTCTATTGATAACCACTTTTATGAACCATGTGTTTGCAAAATGGAAGAGGAGGTCTTCCGGTACCCTGTGATTTTGCCAAATTGATGCACGATACAAAGACAAGTGGCTTCTGGGAGTGGTTTAGCGGCCTTGTTCTTGATATATCACGCTGCTTGAAAATATTCAAGTCTTGATGAATCAAACAAAATTTTGATAGCATCGTCAATGTTCCAGGGGTTCTGGTTCCAGAGAAAAAACACATGAAGGCTGTCATAACTGATATTATAAGCCGATTCCTGAAAAAGTAATGACATTTTTAATTCTGTTCAAGCCGAAATTGTATCTTGAACTCATCTATGGGAGGAATATTGATAATTAGGGATTTTGTATTTGTGATTGTTTAATTTTTAATGAGTCCGTGTGTGAATCGGGTTGAAAGCAGCTTTATACAATATTCCAGTTATATTGTGGCATGTCAGCTTAATGTGGAGCACGTGCATGCACGCCGCTATACAAGTGCGATAATCTTGGACGTGACGTGAAACCCCATTCCACCTCACCTCACCCACGAACACGGCAGAACCTTGAAACATAATCGAGACTCACCGAGATTCGAACCCAGCGATTGTTTTAAAGATACCAATGGCATGCATATTACATTATTACTAAAACAACCATTTTGCTTACTGCCATAAAATTAACGTATGCTGTAGCTTTGTATGCTGTCTGGATGGCATGATACATATATTTTCCCCACATTCGAAATCATGTAGATACATCACGCACTTAAACTGAAAGCTATTGATATTATAATTACGGTTGGCAATATGTTTGACTGAAGAATAATCCACGAGTTACGAGAAATTACGGATTGTCTGTCCTGACAAACAAATTTTGACTTTAAACATCATTTCACTTACAACATAGCGACCGCCTCCGTGGTCTAGTGGTAGAGCGTCTGCCCGGAGAGCGTCATACCAAAGGACGTTAAAAAATGGTACTTGTAGTTACCCTGCCTGGCGCTCGGCATTTAGGGAATAAATCAAGGACTGGTCGGCTTGGAGTCAGTATATTCATGTTAAACTGCTGCATGATATCTCAGTGAGCTAGCATTATATAAATCGGCATATCAGACACACACACACACGCACGCACGCACGCACACACATGCAGTAATCTTGGACGCGTTGTAAAACCCCATTTCACCTCACGCACAACATAGCAGACATTCCTTAAGTCGGTGTAGCACGTAAGTTATTTTCTGAGACACGAGGGTTAGTCTCACAGTTTACAGCTCATGGTGAGACACTGTGTCCCCAGCAAACGTTGGATACAGTGTGGAGGAATGCATGCCTTATAAAATAAATAAAACCTTAACCAATTCAAGTCCATTCATCACGTTTAAAACAACCTTGGGACTTTTATCTTTGAGTCTTTCCTAACTATGTTTTGACCTAGATGGATAAAGGTAGCTCTTCTCGCTCGACCTGTTTCAACAGCAGATAGCCCGGATGTTGACATACCCCATTCATAAACCCGAGGTCGAAACCCGAGAGCGAGTTTTGTGTGGAACGTGGCCCCAGCTAAGATGGCGAGTATTCAGTTGTATCACTTCCCCGCAAGCCCGCCATGTCGTTCTGTCCGCATGACAGCCAAGGCTCTTGGTGTACAACTTGAGTTAAAACAACTCGAGTACCACAACAAAGGTCATCTTAGCCCAGAGTTCATAAAGGTGAGATCCCAACAGAGACCGGGTTAGGCTAGGTCCCCTCCATCCTAGTGTTGGTTGTAAGGGGCCACTAAATCGGACCTGGCCGTCCAAGTCCCAGTTCTTAAACAGTATTGCGAAACATTTATGTCATACAATTCCTGCAAATTTCCCACTTTCCCTGCATTGTCACCCCGAATGTGCCCAGTATCCGAAAGTTGTCTAAATAGGACCCGGTTGGTGTCATCTTGCCCCGACCCGTGAAGATCCGGGTAGAATAGATCTTCAGCAATCCATGCTTGCCGTAAAAGGCGACTATGCTTGTTGTAAGAGACGACTAACAGGATCGGGAGTCGAGGCTCGCTGACTCGGTTGATGCATGTCATCATGTCCCAATCGCGTGGATCGATGCTCATGATGTCAATCACTGGATTGTCTGCTCCAGACTCGATTATTTACAGACCGCCGTCATATTGCTAGTATATTGCTGAGTGCGGCGTTAAATAACACAAAAACTTTGTCCAAAACCTTCTGATAACCACTTCACATGATCTTGCCCTGGTCTGATCCGTGAAAATCCGGGGTAGAATAGTTCGTCTGTAACCCATACTTGCCGTAAAAGGTGACTATGCTTGTAAGAGGCGACTAGATAACGGGATCGGGGACTAGATTGATACATGTCATCGATCCCAATTGCGTGGATCGATGCACATGATGTCAATCCTTGGATTGTCTGGTCTAGAATCGATTAGTTAGAGACCGCCGTCATATATCTGGAATATTGCTGAATGCGGCGTTAAACAACAAACAAACAAACAACTTGCCTAATCTGCTGGACTCAATTGTGGCCAGACGGCCGTGAAATGACGGCCTAGGATATTGCCAACAACGGCAGTAAACAACGGTCATCCACTTACTTCACTCAAGACCCATGAAGATCCGGGGTAGAATAGGTCTTCTGCAACCCATGCTTGCCGTAAAAGGTGACTATGCTTGTCGTAAGAGGCGACTAACGGGATCGGGTGGTCAGGCTCGCTGACTTGGTTGATACATGTCATCGATCCCAATTGCGTGGATCGATGCTCATGATGTCAATCACTGGATTGTCTGGTCCAGATTCGATAATTTACAGACCGCCGTCATATAGCTGCAATATTGCTGAGTGCGGCGTAAAGCAACTAACAAACAAACAAACTTCACTCAAAAACATGCGTTTTAATTGATCTATCCGGTATCATAATATAATGCGAGAGATTCGTGATTAACCGAAGCGGTCGAATTAATGAACTGTAATTATCTTTTGAAATGTTTATTAAACACACCTTTATCTACATTGGATGCCTGCAACAAAGACGTCAGACTCCCTACGTCCGAATGCTACAGACCCTACACTCCTCACTATAAAATATATTTTGCACGGAACATCAAATATTCTTTTTTAAGCGACTATATACATGACCCATATTACTTCCAGGTTAACGAGGTAAATTTTCCTGCAAACAAAATAACTGAAAATAAAAACAGGAAAATACATTCAACCCTGAATTTCAATTACAATTTTAGATTTAACAACTCATTGGTATTCTATATGTGTTTTCGAAGACAGTCATATCAGGTACCAGTTCAAATGTTCGATTTCGGTTAAAACTCATTGGCGTGCGTGCATAGTGCGTACTTACATGATTTCAATTTTGTACGTGATATCTTTAAAAGATATCCCGTCATTTGAAAACTTTCTTCTCCTACCTGAACACATTTATTATCCTATTCTAAAACATAGAACCTGTAACCATAATCTACCTGTCGAAGTTGGCCGTTGGCTTGGTATAAACAGAGAAATTAGGACATGTAAACTGTGTATGTCGCCAGCTATAGCCGATGAATTCCACTACCTGTTTAAATGTGAAGCGTTCCGTGTATCTAGATCTAAACTTATCTCGAATAAATATACGCAATTTCCGAATATAATAAAATACATAAAATTTTTGAGTACCAGAAATTTTAAAGAAATCTTGTGTCATCGGACATCGAACATTGGAACTGATCCCTTACATATATGTGATGGCCAAACGATGTCAGGTACGGGGAGCGTGTTGCGACACCGAAAGCAAGGAATCCCGCCGAGTCACGGGGGTGTCCCTCCACTTTCCCGACATTGGTAGGGGTGCCAAATCAACTTGGGGATTAAGTGGCGGGTGTGGCCCACTATGCCATTTGGTTTGGTTTGTTGTTTAACGCCGCACTCAGCAATACTCCAGCTATATGACGGCGGTCTGTAAAAAATCGAGTCTGGACCAGACAATCCAGTGATTGACATGATTAGCATCGATCCACGCAATTGGGGTCGATGACATGTATCAACCAAGTCAGTGAGCCTGACATCAGAATGTTTTGTCAAAATGTAAAAGTAGGGATGAGTTTTAAGTAGGGGAATATCCGCGTAACTCAGAGGCCCCGCAGACCCCCCCCCCCCCCCCCCCCCCCCCCCAACACACTTCAGAAACCAGGTCACATAACACGATGTACATTGCTATGGTAAACGGGCTTCACACAAACAACATTCGACACAGCTACCCACCCGTGTCTTTAAGGTCAGCAAAACACGGATGAGACCTTCCTTTCTCAACTGTCTGATATGACGCATAGGGTTACCTGTGTTTTTTGACAATGATTCTCACCGAGTATCATCATGTTTGCTACCTGCAATGTTTCATAAACATCCTTATCAGCCCCACGTGTGCTCCGCACCTTGATCTGTTTCTTCATGTTGATGAATCGACATTTCTGCTGGGACTGGCAACATAAAACACGGGAATTTGGTTTAAGATTTAGTTTAACTTAAGCTTCAGGTGTATCGGTGATCTGATATCGTTCAATTATGGTCAAATGGCTAATTTCCTTCCACTGATTTACCCACCTGAGATAGAAAAGGGAGACCAGTGAAATGGCTTCTCCCGTTTCTTATTTGGTTTAAGCATATTTTTTATCTCAAACTAAATCTGGATCGTCAAACAAGCAAAACTTGCTTATGTAAATACCTCTCCAGGTAATAACTTAACAACAGCTGGTTATATATAAGACAGTGCTAAACATAAACATACTAAATACACAAATGAAATACATGAAGCCAATACATTGAAGCAGGTGGTGTCTGTGAAATAATATAATGCAGTTTTCCATTACTACATGCATAAAATTAAGCTACTCAAATCTTTTGCTTTTGGCAATGAAATCGTGAACTGATTGAAGAATAACCATGTTTGTAGAACTGCTGACTGAACTACTGCCATGTAATATTGTTTTTAAATCATATACATGTGCGTAGAAATAAACAGTGTTTCTGATATTATCGTATTTTGGGCAGATATTGAAAAAGTGAATTGCATCTTCAAAGTGATATCCACAAGTGCAGTCTGGTATGTCTGATACATGTCTAAACGTATCAGCGTTGAAGTCACTCACCCGAGCAGTTTCCTATTTAGATCTATGCATAAAGATAAAGACTCTCCACAAGACTCATAGGATTCATAAATTTTATGTTTATGATACAATCGGAATCGTACAATGGAGTCTTATTTTTGCAGACATTTCTTATGGTTATGGAAAGGGTGAGTCAACCGACTGAGCTGATGTCTCCGCTCAGGAGATAATCCTACTGTGTACATGGATACCTGTAACGAAATTACAAGTGTCTGATCGAGGCTCTGGACTTAATTAAAAGAATTCGACCGGGACTGATAATTCATATTTCCTCGTACCTCGTAGATTTTTCGCTAAGAAATACATTTACATCGTATACTCAACAATAAAAGTTCCTGTCACACCAATATTTTAGTGTATTTTTAAAACAAGTAAAGTTTGGTTTTCAAAATTGTTAGTACATATATGGAATCAAGTCACTAAAACGCAACTGCTACAGAAAAGCATGCATTCCATGCAAAAGTTGACTTTTATGCAAGCCCCATTCATTTCACTACCCAAGAATGGGTATAAAAACATGTGCGTTAACGGGATTCCATATGCATTGTTGAGCATCGTGCTGACAACAACCAATCAGAAAAACAACAAAATCGCGCAATTATTCTACATTACGAAATGCCACGCCTGTCCGAAAATGTGCGTCTGCGAGCCATTGGTATGCTTGAAGCAGGATCGAGTCAACGTGATGTTGCGAGACAACTTAACGTCCACAGAAACACCATTTGGTGTTTATGGCAACTTTGGCAACAGACGAATGCAGTCAGAGACCATCCTCGGAGTGGCAGGCCACGCGTAACCAATAATCAACAAGACATCTGGATTCGAACAACACACCTACGAAATCGATTCCAGCCAGCAACAGTGACTGCAAGAAGCATCCCTGGCCTTCGACGAATATCTTCACAAGCCGTACGTCGTCGCCTCAGATGTGCAGGGATTGTCGCCAGAAGACACACCAGACGTCCCATTTTGACAGGAAACCACCGTCAAGCACGTCTACTGTGGTGCAGACAGCGTCTACGCTGGACGGCCATGCAGTGGGGACAAGTTCTATTCACTGGCGAGTCTCGTTTTCACCTCAGCCACAGCGATGGACGGATTCGAGTGTACCGACGTCGAGGTGAACGTTACGTCAATCATTGTGTCATGGAAGAAGATCGGTTCGGGGGCGGCAGCGTTATGGTATGGGGTGGGATTACAGCAAGACAGAGGACCCGTTTGATAGTGGTAGAGGGAAATCTCAATGGACAGCGCTACCGCGACGAGATCATCGGCCCTGTTGTTCTACCGCTTTTGCGTCGTTATGACCCAGGCGTTACCTTTCAACATGACAATGCCCGGCCTCATATTGCTCGACTTGTTCAGGATTCTCTTCAACAAAACAACTTGAATGTCATCCCCTGGCCGGCTCGCTCCCCTGATCTCTCACCAATCGAGCACATGTGGGATGAGATGGATCGGCGCCTGATCGCAACCAGAGGTGGACACACCCTATTGAATTGTAAATTGACATTTTGGCATGTTCATGTTTTTTTTTATGAAATCACGCATTTTCTGAAGTCAGTATTGCAAATTAAACCGTTTGAACACTTACAGGAGTATTTTATCTGTTGCAAACCGAAATTGTTTTAGATTTGGTAAAAAACATAACTTTTCCTTAAATCTTATTCAATGTCACAGGAACTTTTGTTGTTGACCATACTGATTCAATTTTTATATTCCTCTATTCGGAATTTGTATAAGAGAGGATGCACCTTGCACCGGGTCGCAATACCAGTCCTTGTCATTGACTGTCCCTCTTAACGCCGCCACATGCTGGTATGATACATAGGTATACAGCTTAGCAAGAGTCGTATGGCTCTCTTTGAAATCTTCGTAGAAAGAGCATGCTCGATTGTATCTCAAAATTTGTTAAAAATAGTCACCAAATGCTGGAGCTGCTGGAATACTGCCCTACATATTGTCAGTTGTTTGATCAAGGTTATAGCATTCCTCTGGTGGTGAAATCATTTCAAGGGAACTGGCTATTTGAGACGCCCAACAGAACTGGGCTTAAAATGGATGGCCATAGCTTAAATTGGGGCTCACCATGTCTCAGTATAAGTTGACGACACGCATAGAGAGCCGGGAACCAACTTAGTAATTAGCTCTACTTCAGAAACCGGTGCTCACAAAAGAATGACATCGATATGGGAACTAGCTTCATGGCCCTTTGCCAGTAATAAGGGACAGCGGCTGTGTTGCTGTAGTCGTCAATATTCCAGATAAACCACGTCAGCCTGTAACTACTAAACACTCGATCCTTCGCCAGGCAAACCAGTGAATGATCTCCAGATAAACCACGTCAGCCTGTAAATACTTAATACTCGATCCTTCGCCAGGCAAACCAGTGAATGATAGCCAGCTAAACCACGTCAGCCTGTAAATACTAAACACTCGATCCTTCGCCAGGCAAACCAGTGAATGATCGCCAGCTTAACCACGTCAGCCTGTAAATACTTAATACTCGATCCTTCGCCAGGCAAACCAGTGAATGATCGCCAGCTTAACCACGTCAGCCTGTAAATACTTAATACTCGATCCTTCGCCAGGCAAACCAGTGAATGATCGCCAGCTAAACCACGTCAACCTGTAAATACTTAATACTCGATCCTTCGCCAGGCAAACCAGTGAATGATCGCTAGCTAAATCACGTCAACCTGTAAATACTAAATACGCGACCCTTCGCCAGACAAACTAGTGAATGATCGCCAGCTAAACCACGTCAGCCTGTAAATACACGACCCTTCGCCAGGCAAACCAGTGAATGATCGCAAGCTGAACCACCTCATCCTGTAAATACACGATCCTTCGCCAGACAAACTAGTGAATGATCGCCAGCTAAACCACGTCAGCCTGTAAATACACGATCCTTCGCCAGGCAAACCAGTGAATGACGCCAACTAAACTACGTCAGCCTGTAAATACTAAATACTCGATCCTTCGCCAGGCAAACCAGTGAATGATCGCCAGCTAAACCACGTCAGCCTGTAAATACACGATCCTTCGCCAGGCAAACCAGTGAATGATCGCATTCTAGCATGACCATATATATGATCTATGAACTCATATCGACAACTGAATGAGATGAGATATACTAAAAGTAGAAAAAACCCAGTCAAATTAGTTGTCCTCATTATTAACGATAATGTGAAGCATTAATATCGTTACTACACACACACAGTCACGCCGGTTAGGGGAAAGTTGGACGTTCGGGGAACGATAGTGAAGGGTTAACTGTACCTTTTTAATTGATTTTCTAGTCACCTTATTTCTTTATTGGAATATAATTACATTTCGAGATTGAACTATTATTTCTCGTATTTTTTATGTGAAAGGTAGCTTCAAGCAACTAATAAATGGTTATACCACAAAGTTCCAAACAAACATACTACCCTGCAGAGAGAGGGACGTTTTGACAGAGCGATACTTATACTTTAGACCAGATATTGCATGAACAGTACGGAGTTGCCTCCCTTGTCAGTACCTCTGCCGGTGCGTTCGAATCTCAGATTCGCTTTAATTTTGTTCCTTGCTTTGCCGGAAACACCCTCACTCAAGTTGTCTGTGAACGTATTTTGTGAATATTTTAGATAAATCCGGACCACACGACCCCAACAATTGTAGATGGCGACTTCACGCTGTGGGAGAGGTAAGAGCATCTACTGTGCACAAGACAGAACGTTACGCACACCTGAAAGCGCCACAACCTTACAGGGATTCATACGTATTCATATTTCTAACGGGGGCACGGGTGGCCCAGTCGTCTAAGGCGCCGCGATTCGCTGTGCAGTGTTGCGTCCCTTGGGCACGCCAGAAACCTATGATTGTGGGTTCGAATCCCGGTTCGCCCCGATTATGTTTCTAGGTTTGTCAGCACCATACCCGTGCTCGTGGGTTTCACCAAAGTGGTAAACGTCTGAGACCTGCATCACTTCGGGCTTTCCTCTCACATTAAGCTGACACGCCGTGATATGACTGGAATAATGTTAAAAGCGGCGTTAAACCCAACTCACTCACTCACTCACTCATATTTCTAACACCAACTGTTCGCGAAACGGTCGAGCATGTCATGCTCCACAGTAGCATTCATCGGAAGTGGTGGCCAAATGGCCCCGCTGCGCTTGACTTATCGTAAATTCTATGTTAGCTTATGAGACGGCAGTCGTAAATCTAAGATGTCCTTTTCAACGGGCCCTTTTCTGACGATACATCATCCTTGATTACACAGTGTTATTATATCTCCATTCAGTTATAATAAATACCGTGGACCCATTCGCAACCATTGCTTCTTGTCGGTGATGATCGCAATCTCCATTTCTCGCAGGATTGCTCTCGCTCATGAAAGTAATTTGACTTGAGACTACTGGTTGCGCTTGCGCATTCAAATCAGGTCCAGGATGGGGATATCCTGGAGACCGGGTTCAGGGTGTTTTATCATAACAGAATGGAGACAATAGCCAGGTAATCGAGGATGAGGATACAATTTTATCTTATGATATTGTAACTCTCACCACTTAACTGCATTGTATCCACAGCCGCGCCATCATGCGCTACCTGGTGGGGAAGTATGGGGGTGAGGACAACAGCCTGTACCCCCGAGACCTTCAGAAGAGGGCAGAGGTGGACCGGCTCCTGGACTACGATCTGGGGGTCTTCTACAGAGCCATGTTGGACGATGTGGTCAGTGCACGTGTTGTACAGTGTCAACAACCCTTTATAGTAACATTCTTTACATGTGGCGTGGAACACTAGTGATTTGAAAATGGAAATACTAACGTGTTCTAATATTCAAGATATATATTCAATAACAAGTATATGCCCCATTTCACGAAGAAAACGAACAATGTTTATGAAATGAAACGAATATGGTTTCTTCTAGTTATCTTTATATAGAAGTGTTTATTACCCACGTGGTGAGGATACAGGTGGTAACATACTAAATCCGTACGTCACAAGTGTGTCGTACACAACTGCAAGAGCACGTTGTTAATGCGTATGCATAGAAATGTCAACAATGCCCATATTTGGGCATACATCAATATCCATGCGCAACCAGATTTTGCAACCGGTTTCAGTTTGGTCTGTTAACGAACGAAAGTTGTTTTGTATTTACACTTAAATACATATTTAACGTGGGTAATGAATAAAATACCACACTCATTCTCGTAAGATACCATTTTTACGAAACTCGTGTACTTTCTATAGTATTTGACCTCGCTTTTGCTTGGTCAGATACCAAAGAAAGTCAACTCGTTTCGTAAAAAAGTATCTAACGAGAATGAGTGTAGTATTCTCTCTGTATGTTATGGTATCTGTTGCAAAGCAATGGAGACCTTCAATGGAAGTGTTATACATGTATATATTCCTATGCCCGCAATTATCGGTGATGACAGCCCACCTGAGATATAAATGTACTTACGTGATCAAATGGGTAGAGCTCTTTCATAAATAGACAGTAGTTGTAAGATAACGACTGAAGAATCTGGAGAACTGCTTTCAATTTGGATGAGGATATTCATTAAAACTTTTCGTAACTAAAGAACGATTCTCACACGTTGGAAACCCTGTAAAAGGAATACATGTCTCATTTCGGATGGGACCGCCTCCGTGGTCTAGTGGTAGAGCGTCCGTCCGGAGAGCAGGTCCGGCGTTATTCCAAAAGACGTTAAAATATGGTACATATTGCTACCCTGCCTGGGGCTCGGCACCAAGGTGCTAAAACAAGGACTGGTCTGCTCGGAGTCAGTTTTCTGTGTCTGAGTGGGGTAGTCATGTTGAACCATGGCAGACCGCCTCCGTGGTCTAGTGGTAGAGCGTCCACCCGGAGAGCGGAAGGTCCGGGGTTCGATCCCCGGCCGCGTCATATCAAAAGACGCTAAAAGATGGTACTTGTTGTTACCCTGTCTGGCGCTCGGCATAAAGGGAATAAAACAAGGATTGCCCGGTTCGGAGTCAGTATACTGAGTGCGGCATGGTATCTCAGTGAGCTAGTACTATAAGTCGGCATCAGTTCAGACTAGTACAAGCAGCCACACACACACACGCACATGCATACACGTCGCAATATAAGTGCAATAATATTGGACGCGACGTTAAAACCAATTGCACCTAAACTGTGGCATGGCATCTGTGGCATAAAATCGGCATTAGTCCGGACAAGGACAAGCACTAAGGCAGCCACACACACGTCGCTATATCAGTGCAATAATCTTGTAGGCCACGTTAAACCCTATTTCATCTCACCTGACCTCACCTCATTTCAGATGATGCCATTAAGATCAAAAACCAATAGGACAAAAGAACAAGAAGAGAACATCTTCAAGGCCTTCGAGCGGATTGATACACTGGTCAAGGATAAGAAGTTCCTCACCGGAAATACCCTCACCATTGCCGACTTTGCGGTGGTAGTTGGGTTTGCTGCAGGAGTCATCTATCCAGGAGATATGTCCAAGTACCCCAATGCCGTGGCTTGGTACAAGAGAATACAGGAATTACCATACTACAAGGAAGTGAATCAGCCATTTTATGATATAGTGGAAAAAATGAAAAATACACCAGCTGAAAAGCCTACATAGTACATTAACATGTTGAAATCCATTTAAGCATACTGGTGAAAATGGAAAGAAACCACAATAAAGTGGAAGCATTTTTTGCTGCGTCAGTATTAAATCATCCACCTGCACATCCAAAATCATTTGCGCCTTATATCTAATGGCGATTTTACTGTATGAAACAATAAGCTATACCTATTGCTTAGATTAAAAGTTTATGGAAATGTTTCCTTTGTTGTTTTTGGTTAAAAAGACCAGCCCTTTGTTTACGTGTGTCATATGGAGTTCCGTTTTGTTTGTTTCTTGTTTAAAGCTACACACAGCAATGAACTAACTATTGACGGCGGTCTGTAAATGGAACAGGCAATCCAGCGACTGACATCATGAGCATCGATCTAAGTGATTGGGATACGAAGACATGCATCAACCTAGTCAACGAGCCTGACAACTCGATCCCGTTAGTCGCCGCTTATGAAAAGCATGTGTTGCTGTCGACCAACTCTGACCCGGAACTTCACGGGTCTGGGGATTTCGGTAGTTGGTTAAAGTATTCTTTCAGTTACGACCATAATTGGGGGAGATAGGGCGAAGTAACATTTTGGCATTGTTTTAGAAGTAAATATGAAACTCCCCTTTCACTTGACTGGTTAATTTAAATAACGGTGGCACTAATTTCTTACTCATTCATACATACAAGCAGTATGACTCTGTCCATAGCATACGGATATAAATGTTTCAGGATCAAGTATGAAACGCAGATTTATTCTTGAAACAAAATCATGGACATCATTTCACTACAATCGTCATGCCACCTTCTTTCAATGATGTTCTTGCGATTATGGAAAGGAATTTGTCATTTATATTTATGAAAATGCAATCACATTCGCAAATATCACCAGGATATATGTGACATCTTCCGGCTTCACATGCATGCCGTTCAAGCTCAAGCGTTTGCCTGTTCTGATCCATTCGACTTCGACTTAAGATAAGGATAAAATCGTTTTGAGATCAAATGGCAAACACAGGTACAAAACCGCGGCCAAGGTGGTACTGCGGAACTTTCACTCTTGTATCTAGCTCCGTATGCTATTGTTTACCAACAAAATACCTTCCGCTGTTGTGTGCAATGTGCAATTCATGCTAACGACCACCACGGCTTCCCACAAGATCCGAGTTTGGGCATGAAGTGGCGTGTAGCAATCAGAAGAGAAGATCCAAGAAATTATGGAAACCACGTCCATATTCGGTGGTTTGTCGTAATCGCTGCCTGGACAAGGGGCGGTGGGGTAGCCAAGTGGTTAAAGCGTTTGTTCATTGACCACATGGGTACAATGTGTGGAGGCCATATCTGGTGTCCCCGCCATGATATTGCTGGAATATTGCTAAAAGCGGCGTAAAACCAAACTTACTCTCACTACATTGACAGCGACTACTGGTCATCAGACACCAGTAAGCGCCATAGTAACGAAATTAGTAATCGAAAGAGCCGACCAGTTTATCATTTACCTGTTCCTCTCAAGACTGGTACTGAATGAAACACAATAGGTTCACTCATTTTAATAGGTAAATCCAGCATGGACGTAGTGTATAAGTCACCGTATACCTACATGATCTCGGTGCTCAATTGACAATTCTATATATTGCCAGATATACAGTAAACTACGTATATATCGAACACGTTTATAACCAACTGACGGATAAAACGAACTGTTTTTGTCGTTCCGTGTATTTACTGTATATATGCTGTAAATATGCTTATAACGAACTACAATTAGCGGTCCATATGAGTTCGTTATAACCTTAGTTGATCTCCTTTCTCAAGAGCCTTCATATCTCCAGTCTGTGAACAAAAAAAAATGTAATATTACTCATTCCAGTATCTCATGTATAAAAAAAGATTATTCATGTGTATGTCACAGTATGTGTTTTATCAACCACATTTGGCAACGTTGGTGTTGGTATTGGTAACAATTTCAATAAACTTGAGTAACGCATAGATAAAAAGGGAAGATATAAAACTGCTCCAAAATTGCACACTTACCTCTTCATTATCTACAGCCAAGTGGTATCTAAAACATGCCTCGACATTTGAAGAGGTCATGGGCGGTGACATGTCTTTGTGTGATGACATCATTTGCTTGAACCCTGTGTTTGGCTATGACGAAAACCTTACAGGCTTTGGTAACTTATTGACCAAAGTTATTTTCGCATAAGGCACTAAGGGACGTAACTCCAATTTCTTCCCACCCGTGCTGATATCGATCGTCAATTCAAATGCATTGTCATGCCATATCAGGTGTAATACGGGTCTGGTTTTGCACACCCGGTGGCGTGACCGTCTGTGTGAATATGATAATTTACTTTATGACATACTTCTCAAACTAGGGAACTATTGCTCACACTTGATGACATGAAGTGAGACGATGCCCCTGGCTATTCTGGACTATCCGTTGAGTTACTTTAAGAATGCTCCTCCCATTCGTGACATGTTATGACAGTTGTTTAATGCGATGATATTGTGTGGTATATATCCGTTATGTCACCTTCATTCAATGATGTGAACTCTAAACATTTAAAACAACTAACCTGGTCACGAGTATAGATCTACGTTTAAACAAAACAGGTTATTACAACCATATTAAAACAGTTCATCAGTATTTGTCAAACCATGGGAAGCTTGAGTCAATATCTGGAACAAAGCGTGGCCAAACAAAATTGTCCACAAACTATATTGACTATCAATCCATTGAGACAGGACACAACATTCCACTAGTTTTACTTCCGGGTACTTAGGGGAGGTAAATGTTGTTAAAGCCCAGCGAGAAGCCAAGTGATGTGATATGTAATCCTTCGTTACAAAAGATTAATATTGATTAATAAAACCATAAATCTCTCACAAATGTGATATATAACGTTAATACATACAATATAAGTATAAGGATAAACACATACAAGGTGCACCTAAAAGTGTTTTCTTCATGTAGCACACCTTTACCGTAGGTTTGCCTACTACCTGGTGTATATAATCCTAATGACCTCCATAGTCAACTAGGTAATGAGACATTGCGCTGTTCGGTGTAATCCAGACTCGCGTAACGCGTAGGTTTGGTCTGGAGCCGAGCAGGTAGACGTTTCATTATTTCTTCGTGTTACGATGAATGCTGCACTGAACAAAATTCTAGTTGTTTTGACCACGGCGTTTGAATAATGTAACGATATAATGCAAAGACTTCTGCCATATTTATTTAACCGGGATTAAAGAAGCGACCACGTGTCATTCAACAGAAACGTATATTTATATATATAAGTTTGGTGTGATAATTCGAAATTCTTACATGTCAGTTTTCGTGTCATACCCCATATGTGCTCGAGGGCCGAAGGTTGATATAGGGTAGCCGAGCAGACGACACACTAAGGGACGTAACTTGACCAAAGTTATTTTCGCATAAGGCACTAAGGGACGTTACTCCAATTTCTTCCCACCCCTGCTGATGTCGATCGTCCATTCAAATGCATTGTCATGCCATATCAGGTGTAATACGGTTTTGCACACCCTGTGGTGTGACCGTCTGTGTGAATATTATAATTTACTCTATCACATACCTCTCAAACTAGGGAACTATTGCTCGCACTTGATGACATGAAGTGAGACGATGCCCCTGGCTATTCTGGACTATCTGTTGAGTTACTTTAAGAATGCTCCTCCCATTCGTGACATGTTATGACAGTTGTTTAATGCGATGTTATTGTGACGTATATATCCAGAGCAGTGTTTTTATGGCATAATACCTTTCAAGTTGGGTAATACCAAGGCCCCATAGGAACTATAGGTTAATTACTCTTCTAGAAGGTAGGTAAATTGCCAAAAGTATTTGCAGTTGACTTACTGCATGGCTGCATTGACTTCTTTGGAAAGTTATGTGGTTCTGAAACAGGCGGGATTTAGAAAAGAATTCTAAACTTCTAGAAATGGTTTAATCTTCAAATACTGTTATAAAAGGAAGAATATTTAGAATAATAAAATAAATTATGCATCTGTCCAATCTTGCGTCTCTCTAGGTTTAGACTATTTCCAATTATTTACAACACTGTATGGGTTTTATATGTGGTCATAGTATATTCTATTTGCGCGGAAGCCGTTTTGTTCATCCACTAGTTTGTCACTTTTTGAGCTTAGTGTTAATAATATCTCAGTTAATTTTACATGGCAAAATAATAACGAGAATCCCCTATTTGGTAGTGGTAACATCCCTTTAATAACATCCCTTTTCCATTAATCGGGGACAATTCCCTGGCTAAAGAAGTGCCAATGTGGAATATTTTCATGAACGTCAATGCATGTGCCACGTCTGACCTGGATATTGGACAGTTCAACTCTAAAATATCTCCATTGTTGTCTGGGTCTTCTTAAAAAATAGTCCGTTACATTGTTATTTGCAGTATTAATTCCTTTAAAATCGTCATGTCACTTCTCCCGCACCAATTGCCTGTCTATACTTCATTCACCACGTCATTCATAATATCCAGGGCAATATGTAGCTATTAAGGTCATTAACCACAGCGAGTAAAGTCAAGAATGTGCTTGTAATCTTTCGTCCGAAACATGCGTTTTATTTTTCGGTAATGTTAATCAAAGTCTTCTCTTGATAGGACAAATTCTTCTTGCATCGTTTTTCTTCCAGCTGGCGAACTTCTAAATGTTCCAGTGATGCTTATTTCGTTTATTTCTTCTAGGCCTTCTTTTGGACATATTTACATGACGTAATCACATTTCGTTCATTTCGAACTCACTGCAGTATTAATATCCGTTAGGTATGATAGTTATAATTATATTCACTATCTCTATCACTCTGCTTCATTTAACATAAAGTCGGGTTGAATACTACTGACATCAAATTTCATCTTTGTCAAGGTGTTTAAAATTTCGATCAGTGTTAGGACTGTGATTTCCGTGCCTACCGGTATCGGAGTACGACTTTTCCATCTCCTTGACCGTGCTACGTATGTCATCTAATTCACAATCGAGGTCAGCACGGACTTGAATTCAGCCTTAACTCGCGTACTGAATATTTCGACCAGTTTCTGAGAAAAAGATTTGTGTGAAGTCGATTCGAATGTATCCATTACAAGTTTGTCACATATAATTTCTACGTCCTCTGTGAGAGTGGCTTTCGCCATAAGCACAGCACCATCACTATAATTTGAATCATGTTCGCAGTCTTGGTGCCCGTCGAAGCGCTATTTTCAGTCACTTTCAACTTTTTATCCATACTTTTTACATTTTCTACCAAGCAACGTTTAAAAGTCTTTGGACGTGTTTTGAGATGTTCATTATGAGATTTAAATCTTAGTCTTCGTTGAAAAGGCCGCTAATTTCAATTTTTCAAGGATCACACTCCAATATCTGAGCACCCACTCTACTCATTTATTAGTTATGCAGTTAATTCTCTGATATGCGAAGCACATGATGTGACACTACTTGCTTGCTTGTCTTTGGTAGGTCTGGACATGTTCTTTATGAGATTTAAGTCTTAGTCTTCTTTGAAAACGCCGATTATTTCAATTTTGTTTTAGAGAGAACACTCAAATTCCTGACCACTCACTCACCTCATTTATAAATGATGTAGTATATTCTCGGAGATTTGAAGCAGATGATATAACAGTGCTTGCTTTGGAACTATCTACTCTCTTATTCGCTGATGACGTAATCTTGCTGGACGTGTTTGTTGTTAGATTGCGAAAGCGCCTTGCATGTTACATATTGTGATAAATGGAAATTAGGTACTAACACATCTTCCCGAGGCAAGTGAGTTAACAGACTATAAAAGTCCAGTTTCCACCCTTTCCGAACTAGGCTGGTATTATGGAGTTACAATTTTGGCTGGACTAACGAGTCTTTGCATAGTCCAATCAAAATCGCGCACCGAAATCGAAATCCGGTTCGTAAAGTGTCATGCAGATTTCGGTCGACTGCAGGATTTGCAAAGCATGTGCACCGCTAACTCGTTGTCAACAGACATTTTCTAAATCTTTTCATGTTTTTAATCAAGGTGCTCACGTGATTTGATGCACTTCGCGATGTAAGACTCGTTTTATCACAATATAGATTTCGATTATCAATCAGATCGTCTTGACTGGGTGCCACCGTTTTGTTTGAAGCAAATGCAAGTGATACGAGAGGTTGAATCTAATTGGTCAATAGGAGAGGCATAGAAAGGACATAACTCGTAATAGCCACTGGTGGCGCTACGAACGAACCCAGGAATTCCAGCCTAGTTCGGCAAGGGTGGAAACTGGACTTTTAAAGTCAGTTAACTCTCTTGCCTCGGGAAGATGGTACTAACATGGATAAAAATGGTGATAAATATTATGAAAAGTTTAATATTGGCAATAAAGTTGTCGAAATCGTCCCAAACTATAAATATTCGGGCACCCAATTATCTTTATGTGGACCGTGGTATATAACACAGAAAACTTTGGCACAACAATCATGGAAGGTTATACAGGAAACATGGGTACATTCTCCACAGATCTATGATATCTATGTTTTATGTTGAACTGATGCCCTAAGATGGTTCGGAAACTTGGGGATTTCATCCATATTCATGATAGATTGTGAAAAGGTATCCTAGGTTTAAACAGAAACAACCAAATAATGACATTGTGAAAAGATGCTTTCGTTAAAACTGTTTCTTACCTAATAATTGTAAATGTTTGGCTAAGATTATTGACATAACTTGATATTTTAACGGATTTGATGAGGTTTGGATGCAGCAGGGTGTTGGAAATGTCGATGTATTTTTGCACCTATTTAAACAAAGAAATATAGAAACTGAAAACAAATCTGTAATGCGAATCTTCAAAGTTACCCCAAACATCAGTTGTTTTGCTTCATTAAGAATAATTTCCACTATTATAATTTGTTTACGTATATTGATGTAGACTTATTTAAAATGAATATTGTCAGAATTTACTTTACTATCACAACCTTCTGCTAGAAACTGGCAGACATGATCAAGACATGAATGCTTATGTCCTTTCTGTATTTTACCATTTGTCGAGGATGAATTCCATTTCTACCTGATCCGTCCATTCTATACAGGATAACGAACTAGTATTCGTCCATAACACTATAATATTTATCCAACCCATGACCATCTGATATAATTTGTTCTCCTGTAGCAATGGCAGTATTATTAAGAGTTTTACAAAAAATAATATTTATTCTGTGCTTTGAAAAGCAAATACAATTTTCTGAAGGATGTTCCAGTTATATATGAACATAAACTATAGTCAAATTTTCTCATCTATGCCACTTATAAATACAACATCAATTTTGTTGCTGTACTTAGATCAAGCGATGTGTGATAATTCTGTGTGCGTGTATAATGGGCCGGTGGCCCCTTTCCGTGAATAAAAACACTACCAGCCTTTTTTACCGACTACAGCCGGCACTTCTGTTCTAATTCATTTTTGTCCAACTAGTCTCAGTATTAATATATCCCTGTTAAGGGTTTAAGATAAGGACAGGAAACCGTTGTAAAATCAAATATGAAACACATTTATTCTCACAATGCATCAAACAAATCAGAGTTCACTACAATCGCCACGTCACCTTCTTTCAATGGTGTCTGAATATTTAAAACAAATACACCAGTATGCAACACATACCCTGCCCACTCTATTATCAGCCAATCAGGAAACAGTAGTCCAATTGTAGACGTGGCCTACATTTGTTCCGCTTTTTGAAAAATATAATTTGTTTTACCAATCAAATGCAATTTATTTCAGTTCGTTTATGTAATTCGACCACTATTTGAAATACCTTCATTAAATAAGCCAGTTACTGTAGTTCTTTACATTCGCCTATAAAAGTTCAGCATGGATGTCCTCATGTCATTGAACAAGACTGATCGGGAAGATATTCCCTTGCTATCTGTATTTACCGTTCTATTCAGGTCTGAACAACCTAATCTTAATCTAGCATGTCTCATGTCATTGAACAAGACTGATTAGGAAGATATTCCCTTGACATCTGTATTTACCGTTCTATTCAGGTCTGAACAACCTAATCTTAATCTAGCATGTCTCATGTCATTGAACAAGACTGATCGGGAAGATATTCCCTTGCTATCTGTATTTACCGTTCTATTCAGGTCTGAACAACCTAATCTTAATCTAGCATGTCCCATGTCATTGAACAAGACCGATCGGGAAGATATTCCCTTGCTATCTGTATTTACCGTTCTATTCAGGTCTGAACAACCTAATCTTAATCTAGCATGCAGTACTTGTATTATTAAATAGAAACAAATGCTCAATATTTGGGCGGCATTTTCTACCTAAGCGTTACTTTATAAGGGCTTCGTACTAGGAACGAAATTAAAATACGATGAACAGAAAACAGATAATCCTCCCGTAACTTGTAGGGCGCACGGAAGTAGCAGTGATACCGATATTATTCAAACTCTCAGAACTGTTGTTTACTGTAATCTGTCTCACCCGCATTTCTAGATAACAGGCTTCTACACTACATTGTAACCACATCCCATCTACTCAACTGTACAAAACCTCCTACCTGTATATATACTTCTCATCCATACTCTGTACTTCACTTGCTTGATAACGGTATTAGAACCTACACAGACACGTCGCCACTAATTGTAATAAAGAAAATGGTCACCCATGTAGTCTGTCCTTACTTACTGTAAAACGTCTTAAAATGTTAAAAGGTTTCTGGAAAGTGAGTAGAACTACATGCATTGATATTGTACTGGGTGAACGGGGTAGAGCTCCACTTCAGCTTTCATACATATCACGGGCAGTTAAGTACTGGTCCCAGCTGCACAAAGCGATGTTAGTGCTACGGCTATTGTAAGCCTATGTTAAAGTATTGGAGTTACGATCATCTTAGCACTAAGATCGCTTTGTGCAAGTGGGCCCAGGTGTACATTAATACTGCAATACCTGCTGCCAATGCTACCTCACCAATGTTGTTTGATGTTAAAGTCTCTTGATGACGCAGGCAGAGTTACGTGGGCTACACATATCAAACATATTCTATTTCAATTATGGTTTGGTTTTGTGTAGACAAGCCAGGATTTTGGGAATATTAAAATCAGATTATTTAAAATAAGCTTTCTTGATACTCTTAAACAAAACTGGTATTCTACAATAAACATGTCTCATAAATGTTCCAACATTTCTTTACAATTCCATTTTACATTTTGGTAAATGCATTGCTATTCTTTTACATTTGAGAATGCGTTTAACAAAATGTAGAAGTGGACAACTTCGACTGATGACAGAGGCAGGAAGATACACTGATGTACCATATCATTTAAGATTAAGTCCTCACTGTAGGCTTATTGACAAAATGTACATAGAAGATGAAACCAATGGAAAAAACACTATGTCATAAATATATCAGAGTGAGTGAGTATGGTTTAACGCTGCTTTTAGCAATATTCCAGAAATATCACGGCGGCGGACACAAGAAATGGGCTTCACACATTGTACTCATGTGGGCAATCGAACCCGGATATTCGGCGTGATAAGCAAACGCTCTAACCACTAGGCTACCCGACCGCCCCAAATATATCAGAAATAACATTGCAGTAAACAGATTGATAACTGTAATGGACACGCCAGATACACAAACAACACATGATCTCTGTTTATATCTATTTAATGTGCAACATTAAGAAATAAGTTTAATACCACTCAATATGCTTAATTGTCAAAATACTAAAAATGATATGTGTGTCTGTGCTATATATGTGTGTCTGTGCTATATGTGTGTGTGCTATATATGTGTGTCTGTGCTATATGTGTGTCTGTGCTATATATGTGTGTCTGTGCTATATGGATATATTTGTCTTCCTCATACCATAAAATAATACTTTTTACTAGTAGCTCTAAATAAATGCACTTAGAAATGCAACTTGTATATGTCTGTATTTTGGGACAGTGGCCTCTATATTGAATAAATTGTCTTGTCTTATTAAGTCTACTAAAATGTGTCACATTGTCGAGAAAAAGATGCACAAAATAACTAGGTATTACGTGAAACTAAGACCACTTATCGTTTCGTGTTAACTCATTATCAAGAAATACTTTCTCTTCTGCCAATTCCATCTGAACGTCTGCTGCATCCGATGAAGTGACTTCCTCAACGACTCCATACTTAAACAGAAGAAAAGCCACGAAGTACGCAGCAGCCGATAGTGATTGTAGTCCAATGTCCATTGATTTCACACGGTACCGTAGGCTTGAAAGATCATAAAGTGCGCATGCGCCAACTTCACCACAAACTGTCTGCCAAAATATACACGAGCTGTCAATGACCTTTCCATATACTATTGGCGCCGGGAGGAAACCTGCACAGAAAGCAACGGGTTTAACAACATATTTGACTACAATGGATAGAATTATCATTAAACCGCCCGCATTTTATCAGAAATGAGCGGGCCACTGTAACTTGATAATGCCCTCACATTGCTTGACAACGGGCCTTTATCACGCCCGTTCGTTGTTAGGTGACGTCATGGGGATAGCTGACTTCACGTGCTATAGTGACGTCATCTGGTTTGTCTATGACGTTTTCATGTTTGTAAAATTGGTCAGTGACATTAGTGTTGATTGCAGTGAATGTTTCAAAACCGAAATTGTTGTTTCTTTTTATTTGAGGACAAAGTCCATCCATTTAAGTTATAATAACGATCATCATTTGCAGAAGCCCTCGGTCTTTTAAACTGCACTCCTTTGTCGGGCAGTTAATGAAAGACATCGCGCTTCTGCAAATGATAATTCTCTGAAGAATAGCGTTACCATTATATAAGGGCGACGGAGTCCATATACGTCGTCACATTACACCTTATAGAATTCAATCCACTTTTCTAATTTTGGAGTTATTTACAATCTCCATAACAACTGAATACTGAAGTATCATTTTCCATTTTTCACCAACAATATGTTGCAGGTCACATACCTAACAGCCCATTCAGAAATGACGTCAAAGCGACAGCCATGGGTTTATCACGTGGTTGGACCGTTCTGAAAATGATGAATAATATGTGAATGTAAAACCAAATTTTGATGAAATGGAAAATTTAATGTAAACAAATATTCGTCTTTTCAACATGTATTTCTACAAAGTACAATAATACCACTTTCAACATTCGAACTGAGCCATCGACGGTACACCCTCACCCTTACCTAGGTGTTTGCTTAACGTCATACTCAGGAATATTCCAGCTATATGACGACTGTCTGTAAATAATCGAATCTGGACCAGACAATCCATTGATGGACATCAGGAGCATCGATCTACGCAACTGGGATAACAAGCACCAACCAATTTTTAGTCAGCAAATCTCACCCGCTTTCGTTAGTCGCCTCTTATGACAATCATGAGTTGCTGTGACCAATTCTAACCCTGATCTTCACGGGTGGGTGCGATGGAGTGAAACCGCTTAAACAATACAATCACGTACACCCGATTGCAGTATAAGTCGCTTATCTACGAACGTCAAGTATTGACTTACCATTTTGTCCTATCGAAGCAATAAGACACATTAGAAGACTCTCCTCCATAATAAACATGGGATGGGATGAAAACCTACTTGATGATGGTCATGAGAATAGGAACAATGGAGACAGTCCCCGCTAGACCGGACACCAGGTCAACGATGATGTAGGGGTAAAGGTAGGGACACTCTGTCGGACACCTGCCCGCTGTGGCCTCGTCACCAGGAATCTCACTACATCCCGTGTATGTCTGAAATGTTCGTAAAATAGTGAGTGAGGTGGGTTTCTCGCCGCTTTTAACAATATTCCAGTTATGTCACACCGTGTCAAATTAATGGGAGTGATGCAGGTCTCAGACGTTTACCACCGAGCACTGGTATGATGCTGACAATCATTGAAACATAATCTGGGCGAACAGGGATTCGAACCAGGAACCTCGCTACATCCCGTGTATGTCTGAAATGTTGATACAATAGTAAATTACTGACCTTAAAAGGTTTTATGAGGAATTATACAAAGCAAATGATACTGCAACTATGCCCTTAAAGTATGGGGTTTAACGTCGCGTCCAAGATTATTGCACTTATATAGCGACGTGGATGCACATGTGTGTGTGGCTGCTTGTACTAGTCCGGACTGATGCTGATTTGCAGTGCCAGCCCACTGAGATACCATGCCACGGCTTAACATGAATACCCCACTCAGACACAGTGTACTGACTCCGAGCCGACCAGCGGCTTGTTTTAGCCGCTTAATGTCGAGCGCCAGACAGGGTAAGACGCGGTCGGGGATCGAACACCGGATCTTCCGCTATCCGGGCGGAAGCTCTACCACTAGATCATGGAGGCGGTTGTATGTTGGAAGAACGTATCACTCATAGAATAGTGCAATCATTATGCGATGTATGAATAAATGCTTTATTCAGTAAATAGGCCACCGGCCCTTTTTACAATGAAAGCACAAACGGTTTCAAAATGGCGTTGTGCTACACGTGCTGTACAACCACACAGTTGTATATTGATGGACATCAGTGATATCAGTATCAAGGAGTCTGTTTCTAACAACAAGTACCATCTTTTAACGTCTTTTGGTATGACGTGGTCGGTGATCGAACCCCAGACCAACCACTCTCCGGGCAGACGCTCTACCACTCGACCACGGAGGGGGTCTGCTTTCTTACAAGCTGAAAGAATTCTAGATCTAAAGTTTGACCATTCACAAGTTTTTCAATCAAAATCTTTTTAGGACATCAGCACGATCAGTGCACATCATAAATGTGTTTGTATTCATTTATAAGCAACAAACTCAAAAAGACTCGTAGAAGCTTCATTTGTGTGACATGATAAAAAAGCGGTCTTAAAGTTAACAAACGATAATCACCAACCTTTGTTCAGTGTATGAAACTTGTATGTTATAGTTAATAGGCTAATTCTGTGCAACATGTGGAATTCATATTATCCTTTGTCGTAATACTAAATGTAAAACGTCAACGCCAGAGAATAATCAGTTCGATTATCTGCTGAAACAGAGATTACATTTGCCGTATGAGGATGGCATCCTGTTACACAGGGATGGAGATGCTTACAGTTCCATTTTGAGATTTGCATCCAGCCATACATGGACTGATGTACGTCTCGCCGTCAGCTCCACACAGCGGCATGAATTCATCCGCATCACACCCACAGTAGGAAGCGCTGGTCATATTATGCCTGCAAAGTGTAGTTTTATGTGACTGAATGTAGGTACAACGTTTTATCCCACGTGGAGAAAGAAGGTAAGACAGTGTTGGCCTCTATAGATTGATTTTGATTGGATAATCGTTCGTTACCTTGCTCAAATTAATTGATGAACGTTAAACTGCAACTAATATTTCATTCATAAACGTAGCGTTGCATTCACAATAGGATATGATACAGGCCAATTTCTGGTATCCTCACCATGAAAGTGTTGCAATATGGCTACAAGCGGCGTAAAACCTCACTCACTCACAGTTACATCCTTTTCACCAAAATTAGTTTGTCTAAAAATGACTGGAATCGTTTGTATGCAAATGAATTGTAATAAATAGTACAGCAATAAATAGGATAGTGTTCAGTATTTACAGTGATATCACAACTGTCCAGAGTACTAGACAGTATTATGTCACAATTACAAAAACGAATTTAATATGATAATATACGTTTCAAACAGTTTGAATAATATTGAATCTTCTGTTTTCGATATTGCAGTTCAGTCTTCTGAAACTGCTGTTCTTGTAGATTGAGAACACCGTGATCATATAAACATAAAAATTCAAATTAATATGAAATATCAAGCATGCGATTTATAGATATAAAGAAATGTTATTGTGTTTTAGGTATTAAACGTTTGATTCAACAAAACAATGCACGGTGCATAAAATGTATAGATACACAACTGAACGAATGGTGTTGAGTATCACTGAATTCAATATCTGGGTGTGCTGCTGAAAGACGCCAGCCTTATTTGATACACGAACAAAACCCCGACATGTTACATTCAAATCTTTGTCAGTATCAAGCGTAATTATTGTAACTATGAAAAAACATCTCTGAAGGTGCATGAACTCGGCTTACTGATTGGTGTTTGTTTGTTTGTTTGTTTGTGTGTGTGTGTGTGTGTGTGTGTGTGTGTGTGTGTGTGTGTGTGTGTGTGTATGTATGTATGTATGCATAAACTCACGTGCATATATATGTGTGTGTATTTGTGTGTATCTATCTATCTATGTGTGTGTGATATTGTGTGCAAGTTTGTTTGTTTGTTTGTGTGTGTGTGTGTATGTATGTATGTATGTATGTATGTATGTATGTATGTATGTATGTATGCATAAACTCACGTGCATATATATGTGTGTGTACTTGTGTGTATCTATCTATCTATCTATCTATCTATATATGTGTGTGTGATATTGTGTGCAAGTTTGTTTGTTTGTGTGCGTGTGAGTGCATGTGTGTGTGTGTGTGTGTGTGTGCATAGATGCATAGATGCATAGATGCATAGATATATTGTTTGACTCACCTACTCTCACCCAGACCCTTGATACTGGGATTCGGACATCCGAATAGCAGCGTGAGGGTGTAGCAGGCCGAAGCGGCCAAGGTTACTATCATGATCAGTTTCGCACAACCTCTGTTGGTCAGCTTGAGTTTGCTGGTGAGGATGCCACCAAGCAGAGTGCCCACAGTCGCCCAAAGAAGTTCTTCTACACCTATAACAGGCATTGACATATACTAAAACACACTTGAAATGAATGACAAGAAAACAATTTTGGCAGTATATCTCAAAACACATTGAAGGAGATTCGAAGAATACGACGACATTGTTGTATGTGATTATCTCATCCCTAAATACCCACAACAACGTTAGTTCCTGTTTTTGTCCATTTTACTTAATATTCAAACATTTGAATGTGGATTTACAAAGTGTACATATATACTATAATATTTTGAAAAGGACAACAGACAAATCTTTTGTCCATTTACTTGCTCTCACAAGTGTTTGTAACCGAGAAGGCCTTGAAATGACGGCGTATTCTTACCCACTATAAAGTTGGCTTTGGAAGTCTGTGTCCCAAACTGGTTCTCTATGTATTTTGGGGCGAAGGCTATATTTCCCCCCACGAAGAAGAGAACGCAACAGTTTCCCAGCAGGAGACAAGCAACCACTGGGTTCCGCAACACTCGCACCACTGACTTGGGTAAATCTACAAGTACAGAGGATGATTACCATGGGGATGCATCAAACAGTACTGTGGCCACCCCATGGACAATGTAAAAAAGCGTTCTGTCCGCCATGGTGACCCCACCCCATACTATCCCTGAACAACCACCATAAGGCGTTACGTTCACTGACATGTCTTCAAATGTGCTAAGGCGTCTTTGCTGTTGTGTCAACTAACAAAACAACACGTTAGTTATTCTAACGGTTACCGCTTTATTGTGATAAGATAATTAAAGAAGTGTTTTGCAAGTAGAGAAAGTCTAAACTACATGTTGTAGTGTTACACATTCCTGGATAGTTATTAATGTTCAGAACTCGCTACAAGTCCACCTCGATCACTTGGCTGTATTAGTATTATCTAGCTCATTTACTTACAGTTGTCATTATGCTTCCAAGAGTCTAATGTCTGCCCAGAGGAGGGACTTTGAGGTTACCTTAGAGCTAATGATCTGAATAGAGTTTCTCCGAAATGTTATTGTAATAAGCACTTCATTATTTGAACACTGAAGACGTTTGTACCATTTACGTCTTGCTGTACTATTAAATCATATCGATCTGATTAAACTTGAACATCAATACAATAGTTACTCTCATAAGTATCTATTATCGTATGTTTTGGTTATTTAAATGGAGTATTAGGTGAGAATGGATATTTCACATACCTGATAATTCCTCCTTAAGGGAGTGGCGTTTGCCGTTTACTTGTCTTTTTGTGGGTTTCTTAATGTGCCTTGGAAAGCAGCCCAAGGGTACAGCAAGAAGGATGGCTGCGCATCCAAATACCAGGTACCCGAGCCACCATGCCCCGACCCACTGGGGGTGAAGAGGATCCATCTGGGTCTCTTGAAATCAAGAAATATAATACGGTAAACTACGGTTATAACGAACTCAATGGGATAACTAATTCTAGTTCGTTATAACCGTATTTCGTTATAAGTACATATATACAGCAAAAGCCCGGGACCAAAAAAGCCAGTTTGTTATATCCGTCAGTTCGTTATAAGCGTGTTCGTTATAAACGTACTTTACCGTAAAGGGTAAAGGCGGGTGAGCCTACCCACGGCTGTTGGTTAATAAACGATTGTAAAATAATTACAGAGACTATAAGAAGTACTCACCACTAAAATCAACAGGTATGGCGCTAAAAACGCCACCAAGGCCAAGTGCAAGAGCTGGACCGAAGAACGTCACTGTCATAATGATGCCTACAAGATCATAGACATTACAAAATACATGTGAATCTTGAAATGTGTTTCAAACACACTGTGTTGCAAAACAAACATATTTTTAAAGTGCTACTCTTTACTTGTCAGCAGGGGCGGTCGGGTAGCCTAGTGGTTAAAGCGTTCGCTCGTCACGCCGAAGACCCGGGTTCGATTCCCGACATGGGTACAATGTGTGAAGCCCATTTCTGGTGTCCCCCGCCGTGATATTGCTGGAATATTGCTAAAAGCGGCGTAAAACCATACTCACTCACTCACTTGTCAGCAGGAGAAGTAGTTTCAAGTTAACGTTTTTAATTTCAATAAAATCGGTAAATGGGCTATCATGTCAATGTCTTTTGTTTGGGAAGACAAGCGAGACTGGTTATTTTCTGGCGTTGACGTTTTATATCTACAATTAAATCGAGGCTCTAAAAGAAATGCGAGTTCGGTTTTTCTTCATTACGGAAACTGTTTTTTTCATGTAGCCTGACATGTGCGTGGCACTCATTTCAACCACGTAAAATAAATAATCATATATGGCCATCGTCTTCTACATCTAAATACATACCTGCCAGTAAACTCGACTGCTGTTTGTCACGGGAGTTATTGTCAACGTACGGTAAACCTAGGGAAAACCGTGGGGATTTACCCATCCCTTGTATCACCATAAGCACGGCAAGCACATTGTACACCCAATGTCCGTTGTCAGTCGCTTGGTCCTTCGTAGCTGGACATCGCTCATTGTCCTGCACGGAATCCTGACATAGTCTGACATTGTGAGAGGAATAGTTGGAGCCGAGGTCCCCGACACGAGGAAGCGATACAGGACTCATGAAGTGTAACAGACCCGACATTAAACTAGCAAGGCCATACACAGCCAGTGCGCAGGACAGGATCCTAGGTATAAAGCGCCTTCCCCCAAAATGACTGAAGAAGAAAATAGCTGAAAGATAACCGATTTCGCTGCAGCTTAGGAGTAGGCCACTTCTTGTACTGCTGAGTCCAAACTGCTTCTCCAAAGAGGTGATCTGAGACACAGTGTGGTACTTGACTGCCTCCAGCACCAGGGATGACACACTGAACGCGGCAGTGAACCAGAGGATGTTGTTGAAACAACGACGTCGACGTCCTCCAGGTTCAGCCATGGCGTCGACACTCACACAGTTCTTCTCCATCTGCAATATCTGATCGACAGATCAGGAGAGATAGAGAGAGTAGTATATGGGCTGTAATTTGTTACCATGGACTTCCACAAAATCATTTTGTAACGTACGGACTTGTGGAGAAAAAATATAAGAAAAGCATCTCCTCGGATGGCAAGTGTTTTGTCATACAAATGTTCTAGAGTGAATGTTGTTTAACGGCAATCAGCTATATGGTGCGTAAATAATCGCTTCGAGACCATGCAACCCAGTGGCTGACGTCACGAGAACTACGTACTCACGAGGTCGGGACACGATGACACACGTTCAACTAGGCTACACGTTACACGACCTGACTAGCATTGGTAAACGTTTCACATTAGCATGTGGTAACCGGGCTTTGTGTACATAGGAAAGTTCTAATTTAGTTGTTATTCCAATCTACTGTATTGAGTTGACTTGGATGCCTTCGACTATTTCCTGTGTATCGTCGGATACCGTGTATGAAACGTCATCTTGTGTTCTGTAAAGAACCATGATATAATCACGCGATTACTAGACAACGTAGCAAACCCTCCACACGTATTTAGGTGCCACGCAAGAACCTTTTACCTAAATGTGAATACGTCCGGACATATACAATAAACTTTTACAAATCTGCATATAAAAGTCCTTTAATTACGTTTGTATCCAAACGCATGTATTTATACATATATACTTTGATATTCCAAGTTTTAATAGGTTGAAAGGCTAATTAAGTTTGACTGCATCGATATTGCAAGATCGATAGCCATTATTAAATACAAATGCGGTCTGATATTTCAATGTGTAGTTTGTACTGAGTAATTTATTCATCCAAGTCATGATACATCTGTTGTGAGTCTATATCTCTTATCTAAGTTTGTTATACCTCTATTAAGAATATTTCAATTCTCTTTATTAATCCGTAACGAAACAATATATTTCAATGCAGACCTCCAAATCATGTGACTGACACTAACCTCGAAATCTGACTCGTCACATGATCAGTATTGACCTGTTACGTGACGAATATTGACTCGTCTGCTAGAAAACAAGATGGCGTCTGGTAAACTAGCATTTTAAGGTTCGCAGATAAGTTACTGTAATGAAGCAGTGATCGTTTAAAGGCTTCATAAACTTGAAAGTGAATTTCGGTATGCCTGTGGCCTCGGTCCGGTTAGACCACCTCAGGGGTCGGATCCTCGGGTTCTTGTTTTAGCATATTGACCTCATCAAGAGTAACTCTTTGTATAATGATTTTGCGATATTCCAAGTTTACGTTTATTAATAACCATTTGAATGAGGGACCTGTGGCTCCTGGTTCAATCATGTCATCAAACAATGCTGTTATAGCCTTATCGAAATTATAACATGTGTATGTTTCTTCTGTATTTGTATTGTGTAAATGGCCAAGTACACAATGTGCAGTTTTCGGTGCTACAGTTAAATATACACTTGATGACACACTGTCTACGGATATATGTGTGCATGGCATTTCATATTATTTGCTTGTCTCATGTATATTGGGGGCGGTCGGGTAGCCTAGTGGTTAAAGCGTTCGCTCGTCACGCCGAAGACCCGGGTTCGAATCCCGACATGGGTCCAATGTGTGAAGGCAATTTCTGGTGTCCCCCGCCGTGATATTGCTGGAATATTGCTAAAAGCGGCGTAAAATCAAACTCACTCACTCATGTATATTGTGTATAGTTGTTTAACTTTATGTATGGCGTCTTTTTTATTGCTTGTTTTTCAACAATATTCCAGTTATATGACGGCGGTCTGTCAGTAAACGAGTCAGGACCAGACAACCACCAAGTGATGAGAATCGATCTACGCAATTGGGATACGATGACATGCTTCAACCAAGTCAGCGATTCTGACCACATGATCTCGTTAGTCGCTTCTTACGACAAGCATAGTCGCCTCTTACAAGCATTGGGTTGCTTAAGACCTATTCTATCCCGGATCTTCACGGGCCTAAGAGGCTTGTTAAGGAGATTAGCCTTTCACTTTACATTCCTACCCTTCCCGACCCATAATAGCCCAGTCAATCGATTCATCACTTGAAGACACTTATTAAATAGTCACATGTAGAAAATAAGACTATGACTTGGAAGGGCGCACACTCAAACTACTTTCTAGCTAAGCTAACTATGGCTGAAACGGTTATCCGGGTACACGAATGCTCGAAGCGTTATCTCCCGTGGTCAGCATACTTATCTCCCTTGATCTGTTTAGTTATCCCCCTTTCTTAGCAGTCATGGGGGACAAATAACACTTAGCTGTGCGGCAATTATTCGAATCGTCTTTCAGAAAACAAAAACTAAAACTAAATGCATGATTTGTGCTTTTCAACTCTCGTTTCAGACTTCCACAAACGCTACAATAAGAAACCTCTTGAATCTGAAAGATTGAAACTACTGAACTCAAAATGATCAACTGCATCCTCCTCGTCAAGTTTTGGAAGTATTGAAAACAAATAAAAACAATTCCTGACTATAGTTAAAGGTGTGTTCATGTTTGAAATTCCACAAATAGTATTTTCTGGGTATTTCGATATTTATTCATTAATTTTGGTTAGGAGCTGGAAGAAGGTTATAATAAGTTTTAAACACTACTATTATTGCCAAACGCATCTTAATCATCACCCGAAGGTGTGAGTTGCTAAACAGGTTCAGCAGGCAGGACTAATATTTTCAACACAATTACCAGTTAAACAGACAAGTTGATTCGCTATCTGACTAACAACCTGTGTGAAAGTGTTTTCGCTGCCTGATAAAAGAAACAGTTTTCCCTGTCGATTATATTCCGAATGCATTACTTCTTAGTGTATTCAACATAACTGATAAGTGTTGGAGTTTATTGTACATTTCGCGAATGTTTTAAAGTATCTGAGGATACGATGGTGCACACTGACATGAAGTGGACGTGGTTGATTGTAGTTACCTAAAACTGATACTTTTCCGCAAGTATTTCTACTTATACACATCTGATCATCAGTCTTACGCGATTTATTATTGAGAAGAAACGCGATATTATTGCGACTATTACATTCATATTATGCAAATTCACGGACATGAATGATATTATTCGCGTGTGGGTATGATGTTGTTCTAACAAAGGTATCACAAGAACCACTTTTCGCAAGATTTAGAAGTGTAGACTTACTGTAATTTTGAATAGAATAGGAAATAGTCAATGAACATCCACCTCAACATAACATCCGTCTCACGTTAACAGGCCAACCTGTTGTTAGAGTGCCACGTTGTCAACGCGCATCTTGTTGTGATTGAGGGTGTATCTGATAAATATGATTTACAGTTTATTGGTATATGGGTTTCACATGATTCATTTTTCACAACCATGAGAAGCTGTTAACACATTTTAATAATTGTTTCTGATATATGTAAAACTATTACTGGATTTATTTGAAAGTATTAATAAAAACAGCCTTTCCATAAATAGATAAAATAGGGAACTATATGGAAATTCTGCCGATCATCACGCGAGTACATATATTGAATAATATATTCATGTACCATTGCTTGTGGTAATTTAGAGGTATGCAAGATACTATAAACGTTCAGTAAGTGAGTGAATTGGGTTTAACGCCGCTTTTAACACAATTCCAGTTCATCGCGGCGTGTCAGCTTAATGTGTGAAGAAAGCCCGAAGTGATGCAGGTCTCAGACGTTTACCACTTCGGTGAAACCCATGACACGGGCATGGTGCTGACAAACCTAGAAACATGAATGGTTACAATCATTCTGTGGGTGATAATATCTTCCAACATACAGTACATAATGGTTGCACTCTTTCTCTGGGTGATAATATCTTCCAACATACAGTACATAATGGTTGCACTCTTTCTCTGGGTGATAATATCTTCCAACATACAGTACATAATCGTTGCACTCTTTCTCTTGGTGATAATATCTTCCAACATACAGTACATAATGGTTGCACTCTTTCTCTGGGTGATAATATCTTCCAACATACAGTACATAATGGTTGCACTCTTTCTCTGGGTGATAATATCTTCCAACATACAGTACATAATCGTTGCACTCTTTCTCTGGGTGATAATATCTTCCAACATACAGTACGTAATGGTTGCACTCTTTCTGTGGGTGATAATATCTTCCAACATACAGTACATAATCGTTGCACTCTTTCTGTGGGTGATAATATCTTCCAACATACAGTACGTAATGGTTGCACTATTTCTGTGGGTGATAATATCTTCCAACATACAGTACATAATCGTTGCACTATTTCTGTGGGTGATAATATCTTCGAACATACAGTACATACTGGTTGCACTCTTTCTGTGGGTGATAATATCTTCCAACATACAGTGCATACTGGTTGCACTCTTTCTGTGGGTGATAATATCTTCCAACATACAGTACGTAATGGTTGCACTCATTCTGTGATGAAAATATCTCCCAACATACAGTACATAATGGTTGCACTCATTATGTAGGTGATATCTCCCAACATACAGTGCGTAATGGTTGCACTATTTCTGTGGTGAAAATATCTCCCAACATACAGTGCATAATGGTTGCACTCATTCTGTGGGTGATAATCTCTCCCAACATACAGCACATAAACATTACAGACGCTTACCTGAATGACGGTGTCGAGTCAGCTGTCCTCTCACGTTGCAGGTCGAATGGCCGCTCTCCCACCCCGTCACTGGTCGGACAACATGTTGAGTAGATAGGCTACTCTTCCATGGTGTCCTTCGGAAGATGAGAGCTCTCTATTCAGTGTTATTATTCCATAGCTATAGGTTGACCCGATGAACTTTCCTCTCATTTCCTCTCGTTAAACTAGACTCTGAGTATAGCCATGGGAAGCCTGATGCATGTCCATATTCAAGATGTCCCTGACTGTGCTTATTTGCAGCGAGTGCCTAAAGCCTTTTTACAAGAACAATGCATGGTCCATGCAGGCGATTAGATGCATGCAGTGTTTGTAACCCGACAAGGGAAGGAACAGACGCGGAGATTGAAAAGAATCCTTCTTACCCTAGTATGTTGTCCCCGATATGAACATGTCTTATCTTATTGACAATGAACCAGTCTTGTTGACAATGAACCAGTCGTGTAGTGATTCAGACTGTGAGATACATGAAAGAACACAAACAAACCGGAGGCATCGTGCCATATATCTATGAAAGGTATGTGATAACATGTTAAGAAAGTAGGTCACAAGTGCGCTGGTGTAGGGAGGTAACATAATGCTATATTATAATATCTGTATGGCTCTGCGTAACATCACGTGTGTATTGTTCCGTGCTATATTATAATATCTGTATTGCTCTACGCTACATCACATCTGTACTGTTCTTAGCTATATTATAATATCTGTATGGCTCTACGCTACATCACATCTGTACTGTTCTTAGCTATATTATAATATCTGTATTGCTCTACGCTACATCACATCTGTACTGTTCTTAGCTATATTATAATATCTGTATTTCTCTACACTACATCACATCTGTATTGTTCTTCGCTATATTATAATATCTGTATGGCTTTGCGTATCATCACATCTGTATTGTTCTGTGCTATATTATAATATCTGTATGGCTCTATGCTACATCACATGTGTATTGTTCTGTGCTATATTATAATATCTGTATGGCTCTACGCTACATCACATGTGTATTGTTCTGTGCTATATTATAATATCTGTATGGCTCTGCGTATCATCACATCTGTATTGTTCTGTGCTATATTATAATATCTGTATGGCTCTATGCTACATCACATGTGTATTGTTCTGTGCTATATTATAATATCTGTATGGCTCTACGCTACATCACATGTGTATTGTTCTGTGCTATATTATAATATCTGTATGGCTCTACGCTACATCACATCTGTACTGTTCTTAGCTATATTATAATATCTGTATGGCTCTACGCTACATCACATCTGTACTGTTCTTAGCTATATTATAATATCTGTATTGCTCTACGCTACATCACATCTGTACTGTTCTTAGCTATATTATAATATCTGTATGGCTCTACGCTACATCACATGTGTATTGTTCTGTGCTATATTATAATATCTGTATTGCTCTACGCTACATCACATCTGTACTGTTCTTAGCTATATTATAATATCTGTATGGCTCTACGCTACATCACATCTGTACTGTTCTTAGCTATATTATAATATCTGTATTGCTCTACGCTACATCACATCTGTACTGTTCTTAGCTATATTATAATATCTGTATGGCTCTACGCTACATCACATGTGTATTGTTCTGTGCTATATTATAATATCTGTATTGCTCTACGCTACATCACATCTGTACTGTTCTTAGCTATATTATAATATCTGTATGGCTCTACGCTACATCACATCTGTACTGTTCTTAGCTATATTATAATATCTGTATTGCTCTACGCTACATCACATCTGTACTGTTCTTAGCTATATTATAATATCTGTATGGCTCTACGCTACATCACATCTGTACTGTTCTTAGCTATATTATAATATCTGTATTGCTCTACGCTACATCACATCTGTACTGTTCTTAGCTATATTATAATATCTGTATTTCTCTACACTACATCACATCTGTATTGTTCTGTGCTATATTATAATATCCGTATGGCTCTGCGTAACATCACATCTGTATTGTTCTGTGCTATATTATAATATCTGTATGGCTCCACATTATATCACATCTGTATTGTTCTGTGCTATATTATAATATCTGTATTTCTCTACACTACATCACATCTGTATTGTTCTGTGCTATATTATAATATCCGTATGGCTCTGCGTAACATCACATCTGTATTGTTCTGTGCTATATTATAATATCTGTATGGCTCCACATTATATCACATCTGTATTGTTCTGTGCTATATTATAATATCTGTATTTCTCTACACTACATCACATCTGTATTGTTCTGTGCTATATTGTAATATCTGTATGGCTCTGCGTATCATCACATCTGTATTGTTCTGTGCTATATTATAATATCTGTATGGCTCTACGTAACATCACATGTGTATTGTTCTGTGCTATATTATAATATCTGTATGGCTCTGCGTAACATCACATCTGTATTGTTCTTCGCTATATTATAATATCTGTATGGCTCTGCGTATCATCACATCTGTATTGTTCTGTGCTATATTGTAATATCTGTATGGCTCTGCGTAACACCACATCTGTATTGTTCTGTGCTATATTATAATATCTGTATTTCTCTACACTACATCACATCTGTATTGTTCTGTGCTATATTATAATATCTGTATGGCTCTGCGTAACATCACATGTGTATTGTTCTGTGCTATATTATAATATCTGTATGGCTCTATGCTACATCACATCTGTATTGTTCTGTGCTATATTATAATATCTGTATGGCTCTGCGTAACATCACATGTGTATTGTTCTGTGCTATATTATAATATCTGTATGGCTCTGCGCTACATCACATCTGTACTGTTCTTAGCTATATTATAATATCTGTATGGCTCTACGCTACATCACATGTGTATTGTTCTGTGCTATATTATAATATCTGTATTGCTCTACGCTACATCATATCTGTATTGTTCTGTGCTATATTATAATATCTGTATGGCTCCACATTATATCACATCTGTATTGTTCTGTGCTATATTATAATATCTGTATGGCTCTGCGTAACATCACATCTGTATTGTTCTTCGCTATATTATAATATCTGTATGGCTCTACGTAACATCACATGAGTATTGTTCTGTGCTATATCATAATATCTGTATGGCTCCACATTATATCACATCTGTATTGTTCTGTGCTATATTATAATATCTGTATTGCTCTACACTACATCACGTGTGTATTGTTCTGTGCTATATTATAATATCTGTATGGCTCTACGTAACATCACATGTGTATTGTTCTTAGCTATATTATAATATCTGTATTGCTCTACGCTACATCACACCTGTATTGTTTTTCGCTATATTAAACCCAATTTCACCTCACCTATGCTGTAGTATATCTGTATCGCTGTATGCTACATTGTTTCAGGGTGAATTAAAATATCTGTATTGCTCTATGACATATTACAATATATGTATTGTTCTATTATATATTTTATCTGCATTGCTGTATGCTACAAGTATCTGCTTTGTTGTAGGCTATAGCTGTATTTCACTACGCTACGTCATGTTTTTATTGTTCTATGCTATATTATATCCGTGTTGCTCTACTGTACATTATATCTGCATTTATTCTAGGTCATATTGCAATATCTGTATTGTTCTGTGCTATATCATGCCTGTATAGCTCCAGACTATAGTATATCGTTATGCTCTGAGCTTTGTTACAATATCTGTATTGCTCTACAAATGTGTGTGTGTGTGTGTGTGTGTGTGTGTGTGTGTGTGTGTGTGTGTGTGTGTGTGTGTGTGTGTGTGTGTGTGTGTGTGTGTGTGTGTGTGTGTGTGTGTGTGAAATGGTTTGATAGATTGAATGAAGACACCCTATTTCATAGTACATCTATTTTGCTGTTTACTTAATGTTCCATGGATATCTAAACAGTCCAAGCTCAACGCTACATGGTATCTGTATTGATCTATGCTTAGTTGTATCTGTATTGCTTTACCTTACATTATGAACATTATTGTTCTGGGCTATATCTAAATATATTTAATACTTTACGCTACATTACAATACAATACAAATGACATGTACAGTATATTGAAGAATTTCAATACCTGTATTGACCATGGTATATTATGTCTCCATTGCTCTACGTAACTGTTTTATTCAAGGCTTTACTACAATATACGTGTTGCTGTATGCTATATTCTGTATTGTTCTATGAAACTTTCTAACTGTATTGCTATACATTACATTATGTCTGTATTGGTATATGTTACATTATATCTCAGTCTGTATTTACTCGTATTTGTATAATAATGATCCCCTGAATTCAATATTTCATCTCCTGAATACACTCACAAACATCAAAACAATGAAAAATGAATATATATATATATATATATATATATATATATATATATATATATATATATATATATATATATATATATATATATATATATTTTATTCTTAAACGTAATTCTTGAAGCTTTTCAGAAAACGGTGACATGTATAGCATTTGTAACATTTGTAGCATTTGTTGAATGCTATATTTATTCTCTATTCTCTGTGATATTATATCATAGGTATTGTTCTAGGCTATATTATATATCATATTGTATGTATGTATATATGTATGTATGTATGTATGTATGTACGTACGTACGTACCTACGTACCTATCTACCTATCTATCTATCTATCTATCTATCTATCTACTGTATTATTCTAGACTGTATTGTTCTATGTCCGTATTGTTGATGTAATGTTCCAAGCTACATTACAACATCTGTATTGTTCTATGCCATTTTATATATGCGTTGTTCAAATCTATATCGCTATTGCTCCCTGATTTAGTGGATACTGCGCCTGTCTGGCGCTCGGCATTGAGGGGATCAAGCAAGGACTGGTTTGCGCGGAGTTAGTATATGGTAACGCCTCACCCACAGGAGCCGACTCGTACTGGTCAAAAGCAGTTTAAAAGTGGTCGTGAAAACACAGACGTGAAGTCGAAACATTATAAATAGATATACCGATTGTATTAAGGCGCCTTGACAAAGATAAACCCCATGATAGTTTGAGGATTTGTTAACACTAAGCAAGCCTTGTCGAGGCATTTGAGTGCGTTATATAACCAACTTTAATCCGCTACCACGGATTAGCATTAGCATTTACAATAAAATAAGTATTATCATAATAAAGTGCAAAGTGGCCATTAAAAGGGTGTTTTATATACAACAAAGGCCCAAGTGGTAAATAAGTTACTGTCTAAAAGGTAACTAAATATACAAGAAAATAAATTGTTTATCCACATCAGCATTAAACATACAAGGGGGCAGTCCCTCAAAGGAACCTCGTCACAATACAATTCTTGTATTGTTCTGTGCTATATATCTGTATTGTATGGTTGCCGAGAGGGAACATCGCTTTTTGCCCTCAATTACGGCCGCGAGAAAGCGATAAAGCGATCCCACGAGATGAGAAAGCGATAACACGAGACAAGAAAGCGATACCACCAGACGAGAAAGCAATATCAAGAGACGAGAAAGCGATATAACGATACGAAAGAGCGATAAAACGATAAAGCCACCATGGTATATTGCTCTAAGTTATAGTACCATGTCTGTATTGTTCGATGATATATATAGTACACTTATACATTGCTCTAAGCTACAGTACAATATCTCAATTGTTCTAGGCAAGGTCCGTATTGTTCTAAGTTACATTATTATAATCTGTATTCTATACCGGATTACTATATCTGCATTGTTCTATGCTATATCACAATATCTGTACTGCTCTTAGCTATATTATATCTGTATTGTTCTTGGCTAATATTACAATATCTTTATTTTTGTTAGTAATATTGGGACACCAAGTTCGTCAGCACCATAACTGTGTTCGTCCGTTTCATCGAAGTGGTAAACTGTCTTAGCCCTGCATGACTTCTGGCTTTCCTGACACGTTTAAACTGACACCCCTTGATACAAGTGGAATACTGTTGAAAGTGGTGTTCCGCCCTAATCATTTACTCTCTCTAAGCTGTATCAAAATATCTGCATTGTTCGTGGCTTGACAACGGTATAAGGATCTATAGCGAAACGTCGCTTTTTACAGTATTAAAAAAGTTGTTATCCATAAATTTTTGTCTACCTAGTCGAATTATGTTTGACATTTACCCCGCGTTCCGACAACTTCCTAGAGATCCGTTCGCACCGATGCAAATTTAATGTGACGGCCTATAGTATAAATGAGTAATTATAACCTTAGTGTGTCAGTGTGTAGTTAGAAATAACCGTCAGTGGCCATCCATGAGTGAACCGCTGACGCGATGTTCCTTATTGTATTTCACAAGGTCATTATAGGTAATTAGACCTATTATTACCAGCGTACAGGCAGGGCAGAACATACTTACCCTTTCCGCGAACACCTGTTGTCATCACTGATTTTTAGTCGTCCGTTCATGTAATTGCTATTTTGCCCTTTACGATAATGAAATCAGTTTCGGCGGATAATCCTGACTGGTTATTTTCTCCCATTGACAATTTACATAATAAATTGTTTAATGTTTAAAAAAATTACATTATGTATCCTTGAATAGGTACTTACTAGATGACATAAATACAAGCCATATGATTGTGCTGTGTTACTGCAGATATATATGAATATGGGTTATGTGGTGTACTGTTTGTATTCTGGGACATTGTTTATTATACGTATAAACAGTAACAGTGAATAATCTCGTAGAGCAAAATACGGACCTGTGTCGCGGGGTAACCTACAACAAACGTTTTATAGGCTTCTTAGACGGGGCGCTAAACACGTTTAATCTCGCAAAAAACAAAAACAAATGGAGAACCTGCCGTCCACATCTTCTTTTTCTGTGAAATTCTCCGTTATGTGATTCTGAATTATAATTATAGCATGTTAAACTGGTTTCCATTTCATATCAAGGTTATGTCCCGAGCGAAATAATTACTTCCACATCAAGAGACAGAGAACATTTATCTCACGAGAAACCTAACCTTGACAAGAAGTGGGATGTGTTCTATTTATGACAACAATAATGGTTCATCATGTCTGATTGTCCTTGTTGTGGTTGGTTTGTTGATAAACGCCGCACTCAGCAATATTCCAGCTATATGACGGCGGTCTGTCAATAATCGAGTCTGGACCAGACAATCCAGTGATTGATATTATGAACATCGATCCACGCAATTGGGATACGATAACATGCATGAACCAACTTGTTTGATAGGCATTACTTAGAAGTTGGCGGATGACAAGATAGACACAATTTTATGGATAACAACTTCTTTAATACTGTAAAAAGCGACGTTTCGGTATAGATCCTTATACCGTTGTCAAGCAACGTTGCTAAATATATAATTGTATTTATCCCTAGAAGTCCCCGAGAATGATGGGACTGCTTCTTCTGTACCACTTTGTCATGTTATCTGTTTACGTTGTACCACGTGGGTAATAATAGATATTTGTATAGTAACATCAACGCTGTATAGGTAGCTAACGTATCGTTCTCGAATTTAAGGTACGTTGTTTAAAGGAACCCTCGAACCTTGTGGCTAATTTCCCATTGTATGATACAATCGGCAGTAATAATCGATGCTCTGAAAACAGGAATGTCCCGATATTCATATTAACTAGATTACTGGACGGCGGTTGTCATCCTTCATTCGCGAAGCCACAGAAACATGTTTAGATATACACAATCCTAAATATGTTTAAAATTGTGTTAACAATCCCGAAAATGGTTAATGGGTAAGTGACTGAGATTTTGCCCCTTTTAGCAATATTCCAGATATATTACGGCAGACGTGAGTGAGTGAGTATGGTTTTACGCCGCTTTTAGCAAAATTGCAGCAATATCACGGTGGGGGACACCTGAAATGGGCTTAACACATTATACCCATGTCGGGAATCGAACCCGGGTCTTCGGCGTGACGAGCGAACGCTTTAACCACAAAGCTATCCGACCACCCCTATTACGACATGAGACAGCAGAATACACTGTACTAAACAGGGTTAGGGCTAAACACATCTAGTATATGTTTAATACCTAAACATGTTTTTTAGTGCACACATGGAATAAACAAGGATTGGACACACAGCACGAGCATGTGGTGAACTCAAACAGTCCTTGGAGCAAACAAATGAAGCTCATATCGAAAATATGTTTTTTCACCAAACAACCACTTCATTTTATTGTTGACGGTTACATAATTCAACAAACAATTCAACTGATATTGAATTGCGAACTGAACTCAGCTGAACTCAACAGTTATAGGTCAGATCGAGGTCTTCAAGAATTGCCCTAATTATGAGTGAGTGAGTGAGTTGGGTTTAACGCCGCTTTTAACAGTATTCCAGTTATATCACGGCGTGTCAGCTAATTATGCGAGGAAAGCCCGAAGTGATGCAGGTCTCAGGCGTTTACCAGTTCGGTGAAACCCACGAGCACGGGTTTGGTACTGACAAACCGAGAAGCATAATCGGGGCGAACCGGGATTCGAACCCAGAATATTAGGTTTCTTGCGTCCCCATGGGACGCAACTCTGCACGAGGCCCCTTATACGACTGGGCCACCCGTACCCCCTCCTAATTATGAGTGATGTGTAGTGTGAACCTATACACTGGAAGAGGGTTAAGTGTATACAGTACACAGGAACACTGGAATCTTTGTATCTGATCCATTTGTTTGTTTTAGGCCTATGTACATATTCATTCAATAAGCGCCAAAAGGCAAGCTCAGTTTTGTTTCCGTCTGGAATGAACATTTAAAACTTTGTCACCTGAACACCACGTTCTTCAGTCTCTCCTGCAGCTTTAGGCTGAGTTTGTGATGTGTCTGAATCAGGGTACTCCTTCACGACGCCATATTTTAGTAAAAGGAAAGCAGCAAAGAAAGCAGCTGACGACAGCAACTGAAGTCCAGTGTCCATCCCCTTCACACGATACCGTAGTTTAGGGAGATCATACAGTGCGCATGCGCCGACCTCGCCACACGTTGTTTCCCAGAGAGTGCACGTGGTGTCAATGACCATCCCATACACAATAGGTGATGGGAGGAATCCTGGGGAAGTAGGATTCAGAATCATAAAGTAACATAAGAATATACACAATCTACATTCATACATTCCATTGTAGAATCAGTAAGCTCTCTCATTTCAATTTAAATATTACCTACAAAGTGTAAATGCGAATGTCACAAGCTTGTCACAATCTGTGAGAGATGAAACAATCTTCACCTGTTGTGGGTAAAAATGAACCTAACACAGCAAATATACGTAAGTACATAGAGTTGATATATCTATCTATCAGCAAGTGCATAGTGCATAGAGAAGTATATATATATTTCTCTATGCACTTACTCAGCGTTCGCCCGATGAAGGAGCAAGAAGTAGCTCTGAAACGTCGTGACAAAGAATAAAAGAAGTCACTATCCAAAAAAGTGCCATGTATTCATGTTCTTCCAACTTCTAAATACCTACACAGAAAATTACTATTCAAGCAGAAAGGTGCAAATGAAGCAGCCCCAACACTGTTATCATTGTCATCATTGTAATAACTGAAGATCTAGAAACATCACAAGGGTGTGCATCATGACTTTCTCTAACACCTGTTTCAAGCTCGTGGTTGACCTTACAGTAGACCTGGTGCGATAGAGTCAACAGTCTATCAGAATCATACTCTTATAAACATTTTAAATCACTTTTAAACATTGAAACCTACTTCAACATTCCTTTGCCACCTCATCTTAGAATGATTTTATCACGCTTCAGGTGCAGAAACTTTAACATTGCAGTAAATACAGGAAGACACCATTCTACACCATATGAAGAGTGAGTGAGTGAGAGAGAGTGAGATGGGTTTAACGCCGCTTTTAACAGTATTCAAGTTATGTCACGGCGTGTCAGCTTAATTTGGGAGGAAAGCCCGAAGTGATGCAGGTCTCAGACGTTTACCACTTCGGTGAAACCCACGAGCACGGGTGTGGTGCTGACAAACCTAGAAACATAATCCGGGCGAACCGGGATTCGAACCCACAATCATAGGTTTCTGGCGTGCCCAAGGGACGCAACTCTGCACAGCGAATCGCGGCGCCTTAGACGACTGGGCCACCCGTGCCCCCATATGAAGAAAGACCCAGTAAGGGAAAACTTTTTATTGAAGATGAAGTGCATATTTTTTCTGTGTGTGAGTTTTATAGTCACCCAACTTAATGGGTAAATGTACAACCATCCCATCAATACACTCTTTCATAGACTTGATTTCATCACATGATTATGAAATCTTACATAGCATAGGTAAACCAAATAAGACATACTGTTCCTTAAAATATTCTTGATATAAATACACATCTACTCCTGTATGTATCATGTATAACTATATTGTGCAGATGATTTTATCTCTGCTATGCCAATGTATTTTGGGCCAGTGGCCTTATACTGAATAAATGTCTGTCTGTCTGTTTGACAACAGTCACTGTATAAAGGGGTTGTTTGATAATATACTATTCTTGTATACACGTAAGTCAATACTTACCGACACAACTATATATGAATGACGATATACCGACAGCCATGGATTTGTCCCTTGGATGCACTGTTCTTTAATGAAGTAAAAAAAAATCACATTTTGAGTCAAAATTATAAGTATAACACAATAAAAGATAATTAATCAAAAGGAACGAAACACCATAATCAAAATAAGTCTCTTCTACAGGCATAGTCCGTTGTACGATTCTGACTTTTTCATAAGCATGTGTTCATGAATCAGTTAAATATCTAAAAACTTGCCTTTTAACAAGGGAGTTTAGCAGAAACAGCAGGAGTAACTATAGTCCTCTAATACATCCACGTGATCATTCATATGACCTTCCTTACATGCTCGTGCTTGGAAATATTCAGCTCATGCTGGTGCCACGGATTCTGCGTGGTTTGTTTGTTTGTTTGTTGTTTAACGCCGGACTCAGACATATTCCAGCATAATGACGGTGGTCCGTAAATAATCGAGTCTGGACCTGACAATCCAGTGATTGACATCATGAGCATCGATCCCTCTTATTGGGATACAATGACATGCATCAACCAAGTCAGCGAGTCTGACCTCCCGATCCCGTTAGTCGCCTCTTACTACATGCTTAGTCGCCTTTTACGGCAAGCATGGGTTGCTGCAGCTGGAGACCTATTCTACCCGGATCTTCAAGGATTCTGTCAGGTATCCTTGACATCAATATCATGTCGTAAATAGCAAGACACAGCGACTTTGACATGTCTATAAGCAGTAAGCGACAACAACAAGGAATCAACGTGGCATCACAATGGGAGGTTTCACCAAGTGCTGATAACACCAAAATCTGAGCAGAATATCATTTCTGACGTATCCCGATGTCTTTATACATCACAATACGTAAACATTGATAAAAGCCACGACACAAGTATTCTAGTGGGTAAACTAACATTTTGTACTCGATGTAGATGTGTTATGTATCATCCTATATATATTTGGTGATAGAATATTCACCAACCTCTCATAACAACAGCCACTTATGAAACACATATCTCTATTGAGAGTTTGTTCCATATAATTAGTTGTTTGAGGCAAATCTGCACATGATATTGGAACGGGTATACTGTCTTTTTGGGGGGCACGGGTGGCCCAGTCGTCTAAGGCGCCGCGATTCGCTGTGCAGAGTTGCGTCCCTTGGGCAAGCCAGAAACCTATGATTGTGGGTTCGAATCCCGGTTCGCCCCGATTATGTTTCTAGGTTTGTCAGCACCATACCCGTGCTCGTGGGTTTCACCGAAGTGGTTAACGTCTGAGACCTGCATCACTTCGGGCTTTCCTCCCACATTAAGCTGACACGCCGTGATATAACTGGAATACTGTTAAAAGCGGCGTTAAACCCAACTCACTCACTCACTCACTCACTGTCTTTTTGTATGAAATACTATCACATTGCTCTTTCTATGAAGTGATGTAATGAACTCAACAAAGCAGTGTCTCCACATCGGAAAATCCCGCGAAGATCCGGGTTAGAGTTGGTCTTCAGCAACCCAAGCTTGTCGCAAGACGCGACTAACGGGATCGGGTGGTCAGGCTCGCAGACTTAGGGTATGCAGGTCATCGTTTACTATTTGACAGTGATTCATAAACACATGCTCATGATATAGTCGGAATTGTACAATCGACTCTGCTTTATGCAGAGATTTCTATTGGATATGGAAAGGGATTTAAAAGTCGCTTTAGTCCCAAATGGGTATATCGATTCTCACGATTTCAATCACTGGATTGTCTGATCCAGACGCATATCATACATACGGCGTTAAACAACAAATAAACAATATTAGACGCTCTACTTCAACGTCGTTGCATTAAGATGTAGCGAGTTTCAAGTTATATCTTTAACGTTGTGTTTCCAAACCAAGTTCGTGTAATGTGCCCTTTAATTGTGATTCGTTTTGTGTTCAGTGGTAAATGCAGGCGAAAATTGTGAAAACAATGCTTTTCATTTTGTGTAACTTGTGTAACTAAGTCCATTGACTGCTATTCGATCAGTGAATCCGAGGATTTGCTTGGGTATCATGGAAATATGTTGTAAGCACCTACTTGATGATGGTCATGATAATAGGAACAATGGAGACAGTCCCCGCCAGGCCGGACGCCAGGTCAACGATGATGTAGGGGTAAAGGTAGGGACACTCTGTCGGACACCTGCCCGCTGTGGCCTCGTCACCAGGAATCTCGCTACATCCCGTGTATGTCTGAAATGTTCGTAAAATAGTGAGTGAGGTGGGTTTATCACTGCTTTTAACAATATTCCAGTTATGACACACCGTGTCAAATTAATGGGAGTGATGCAGGTCTCGGACGTTTACCACCCGAGCACTGGTATGATGCTGACAGGGATTCGAACCAGGAATCTCGGTACATCCCTTCTATGTCTGAAATATCACTTGTCTCCAAATAAAATGAAACATGAAACATGATTGAAAGCAGATAACTGTTTTGAAGAAAAAATAAACAATTACAAATAACGACAGGAATTACCTGAACAGTGACATCTAACTATACCTGGAGTGCGATACTTACAGTGCCATTCTGAGACTGACATCTCACCATCCCTGGAGTGCGATACTTACACCGCCATTCTGAGACTGACATTTCACCATGCCTGGAGTGCGATACTTACAGTGCCATTCTGAGACTGACATCTCACCATGCCTGGAGTGCGATACCTACAGTGCCATTCTGAGACTGACATCTCACCATGCCTGGAGTGCGATACTTACAGTTCCATTCTGAGACGACATCCTGCCATACAGGGAGCCACACAGGGAGTGAGATACTTACAGTTCCATTCTGAGACCGACATCCTACCATACAGGGAGTCACACAGGGAGTGAGATACTTACAGTTCCATTCTGAGACTGACATCCTGTTATACAAGAGGCCACACAGGGAGTGAGATACTTACAGTTCCATTCTGAAACCGGCATCCTGCCATACAGGGAGCCACACAGGGAGTGAGATACTTACAGTTCCATTCTGAGACCGACATCCTACCATACAGGGAGCCACACAGGGAGTGAGATACTTTCAGTTCCATTCTGAGACCGACATCCTACCATACAGGGAGTCACACAGGGAGTGAGATACTTACAGTTCCATTCTGAGACGACATCCTGCCATACAGGGAGCCACACAGGGAGTGAGATACTTACAGTTCCATTCTGAGACCGACATCCTACCATACAGGGAGCCACACAGCGAGTGAGATACTTACAGTGCCATTCTGAGACTGACATCCTGCCATACAGGGAGCCACACAGGGAGCGAGATACTTACAGTTCCATTCTGAGACTGACATCCTGCCATACAGGGAGCCACACGGGGAGTGAGATACTTACAGTTCCATTCTGAAACCGGAATCCTGCCATACAGGGAGCCACACAGGGAGTGAGATACTTACAGTGCCATTCTCAAGACTGACATCCTGCCATACAGGAAGCCACTAAGGAAGTGACATACTTACAGTACCATTCTGAGACTGACATCCCGCCATACAGGGATTGATATATGTCACGCCGTCAACTCCACACAGAGGCATGAATTCAGTTGCATCACAGTTGCAAACGGTATCGTTGACCATGGCGTTTCTGAAATATATCGGTAATGTAAAAGTCATTCATACATGGATGGGTCTTACGTGAATGATGTCAAGTGTTTCTGTTAGAAAAATGAGACGATAATGTACAAACACACCACTCGTATTTATTATTGTTCTATTGTTAGTCGTGTTATCTGCTATAATAACGTCCGTCTGTCGCATTAATTTAAAAAAAGATTGTTGTTTTGTGGTATTTCGTGTCGATTTTCTGCATTCCATGTAACAATGGTCTAGTCTAATAAATTGATACTTACGACATGGGCTTTCTATTACAGCATTGGGTTACGTTAAGTGCCCAATTTCTTCAGGATTTTCAAGGTCAGTATGTTCTATTTGTTGCAAGAATGAAAACAGTGTAAATGACGTAGTTAATATTCATGCCAACCAACTTACTTCTGTCATGTTTTATAAATGAAGGATTGGCAATTTACTTTAAAGATAGGTAGCTGCCTGCCTTTCGAGTGAAATAAGGTGATATAAATGACAGATACTACTACTACTACTACTACTACTACTACTACTACTACTACTACTACAACAGACACAAACCTGCTTCCAACTTACCCATTGATGGTCTGGTTATAACCAGTCACTTCCTGCCATCACCTGAACTCTCGATGTTCTTTTAACGAGAGCTGACACTTTTTTTCTGTCACCTTAACACTCCTTGTAAATACAGCCACTTACCTGCTGTCACCTAGGCCCTTGATGTTCTGGTTGTCACATCCTAACACCAACGTGGCAGAATAGAGGACAGTGGCAATGGTAGCCACTATAGTCGTGAGCTTCACACATCCCATGCTGGTCAGTTTGAGTCGGCTGGTGAGGATGCCGCCAAGTAGAGTGCCCACAACCGCCCACAGCACCCCTAGTATACCTTCAACACGTGATGATATGGAGCTTTGAATTTCGATGAAAAGTGAATAATATGTTTTTGTTTACTTCTTTCAAACATCCTCTTCATATACCTTTGCTGCAAATTCTTACCTTTGATCTGTTTCCATCTGATATACAGACAATGAATCCCTCACTAATGATGAAAATGGGCGATCACATACTCACGAGTACGCTTCAGACGGCCCCACCTTGATTCAGTCACAGAGTTCTGGCATATACGAATCAGAAGTCGTGACAATATAGGACAACGCACAACAATTCTCTGGAGATTTTGCATGCCTGTCCCAATAGAATTGTGTACTTTTCACTGATACTGGCGACAGAAACACAAGGACGATAGTATTAAAGTCAACTTCGCAGAATAAACATTCTCGATTATCCGCTGAAACTGATTCCTTTGGGCGTAAAAGACAAAATAGCGGTGAAAATAAATATGAAGGAATCACTGAAACTAACAAGGGAAAGTGTATCCTGCCCTACCGGTAGCACCCGATACATTTGCAGAAAAAAGTATACATCGTTTCACTGAAAAAAGATCTTACCCAATATGAAGTTCGCTTCAGCTGCCGACGTAGCAAATTGGCTCTCGAGGTATTTTGGAGCGAATCCTAAATAGCCTCCGATAAAGAACAATACACTGGCGTTTCCAAAGAGGAGGCAGTCGACTACTGGGTTTTTCAATATCCGTAATACCGACCTCGGCATGTCTGCGGGTACAACAACATATGAGAAATAAGTACAGTTATAAGAACAAGAGGAATGGTAGCTACCAACTTCTGGACGAATATTCATGTATGGTGTAAAATGAAGGGGCGTATTCAGCAAGTGACCGATTGATGCAGAATGATGATTTGACGTTGAAGGATGACTGCTAATGGAACTAACGGGCAATGCAACTGCCATTTCAGTAATCATAGACATATGTTTCCATTTTATTACCAAATATCACCACTTGAATAAAATGAATCTCTCTAGGTAATTGTTGTAAAAGAGTAATTTCAAGAATCTTGCAATGCCTCACATTGGCTGTCTTGTATTTCTCGCATGCCGGAAAGTGAAACAGTGACACCCCTTGCATACAAGCAATCACCTTGGGTAATTGTTTCCCTAATGAGTATTTTTTCAAGCATGTTGCATGGTACTATACCGGGTGTATTGTATTTCTCGCATGCCGGAAAGTGAAACAGTGACACCCCTTGCATACAAGCAATCACCTTGGGTAATTGTTTCCCTAATGAGTATTTTTTCAAGCATGTTGCATTATACTATACCGGGTGTATTGTATTTCTCGCATGCCGGAAAGTGAAACAGTGACACCCCTTGCATACAAGCAATCACCTTGGGTAATTGTTTCCCAAATGAGTATTTTTTCAAGCATGTTGCATGTTACTATACCGGGTGTATTGTATTTCTCGCATGCCGGAAAGTGAAACAGTGACACCCCTTGCATACAAGCAATCACCTTGGGTAATTGTTTCCCAAATGAGTATTTTTTCAAGCATGTTGCATGGTACTATACCGGGTGTATTGTATTTCTCGCATGCCAGAAAGTGAAACAGTGACACCCCTTGCATACAAGCAATCACCTTGGGTAATTGTTTCCCAAATGAGTATTTTTTCAAGCATGTTGCATGTTACTATACCGGGTGTATTGTATTTCTCGCATGCCGGAAAGTGAAACAGTGACACCCCTTGCATACAAGCAATCACCTTGGGTAATTGTTTCCCAAATGAGTATTTTTTCAAGCATGTTGCATTATACTATACCGGGTGTATTGTATTTCTCGCATGCCAGAAAGTGAAACAGTGACTTACCCACAATATCGTCTTTAGGTGACTTGGTCGTTTCAGTGGCTTTGACTGTGGGTTTCTTAATGTGCCTTGGGAAGCAGCCCAAGGGTACGGCAAGAAGGATGGCTGCACATCCAAAGACCAGATACCCGAGCCACCATGCCCCGATCCACTGGGGGTGTAGAGGATCCATCCTGGTCTCTTGAAATCAAGCATTATAATATGCGGTTCATCTAAATCCATCTAATTGGGACTCTTGAAGTAAAAACGTGTTTGTAATATATTGAACCGCAAAAGAAACGTCACCCCAAGTAGCATTGCATGAAAATTCGTCATTTAAATATCTGAGTAATTTTTTTTTCTAAAAATTTAACATTACCTTGTCCGGAAAAATGAAATTTGATGATAAAAAAAACAAAGCAGATGACAATAAAACCGATCGCCCAAACGCATCACGTCATCGGCAACCCGATGCACGTGAGTTCCGTGCAAATTGAAATGCACATGCGTTCCCCCATGTGTTGCCCTTTAAAAATCCACCCAGATCGGATAACATTCATTCGTTATTGAATTGCTTCCACATGCCAAGATTGACAAGAAATCAGCGACACCAAGCCCTTGGACGATTGCAAGCTGGACAAACCGCACGGCAAGTAGCCACATAAGGACCATATACAGGCAACGGTACCAGACCACCAACACTACAGATGACCGACCACGTAGTGGAAGACCAAGGGTCACCACCCGACGTCAGGATCGTCAGATTGTGCGACTGCATCTTCAAGATCGCTTTGGTACTGCTGCGGAAACTGCTCAACAGACCATGGGGACACACCAGCGACACATTAGCCCGGACACCGTACGTCAACGATTGAAGAGCAGACACCTCCACTGTCAAGGCCACACCGAGGACCCATTCTGTCACCACGTCATCACCGGTAACGTCTTCAGTGGGCAACACAACACCAGTATTGGTGCCACCAGCAATGCAGAAGAGTCCTCTTTTCAGACGAGAGCCGTTACTGTATCTAAACAGCAGAAAGCAGAGAGAGAGAGAGAGAGAGAAAGAGAGGCTGGCGACGGCGTGGGGATCATTATTCGGATGCTTGTGTTGTTGAGAGAGACTCGTGGGGTGGTCCGAGCATCAGGGTGTGAAATTGGTCTTGCACAGAGGTTCGGCCCTGTGGTCTTCCAGAACATCGGTCCAGGAGAGAGGCAATGGTGTCACAGCAGCTCGGTACATTGATCAAGTCGTGAGACCATACGCCATACTTCATTTGGCACGTCGCCGCAACAACGAGTTTCAGCATGACAACGCCCGTGCCCACACTGCGAGAACAACAAGACTATTCCTCCAGCAGAATGGCATCAGAACCATGCAGTGGCCTGCCATCAGTCCCAATTTAAATCCCATTGAGCACCTGTGGGACGAGATTCAAAAACGGCTGAATGACGTCCTACCAAGGCCGACAGCTGCAGGTGAACTGCATCAGGCGTTCCTCAGGTTGTGTGCTCAAGTGCCTATGGCCTTCATCAACCGCCTCATCCATTCCATGTATCGACGATGCACGGCAGTCATCAATGCACATAGCGGACACACGAGATACCGACTTGTGATGCCATTTTCTCAGAGACTAGTAGTGTGTTTCACTTTAAGAACATTTGACACTTTAATTTCAACCTTGATGATCAGTTTCATCTTTTAAATATGTCTCAAAGTATGTTTGCAGTGTTTGGACAAATAAGGTTTCTCATATATCTATTCATGGTGACGTTTCTTTTGCGGTTCAGTATATATTTTTCATTAAAAGCTCTGTGATTATAAATACTAAAGGTATATGTTCCATAAGTCGAGTGGATACAAAACTGAAAAATTGTTGACATTTAAAAATCAGTTCTAAAGCATCTTTAAGGGGAAGTGTAAAGACATACATGTGTAGGTGATTTATTGCCATTTCTGTGTCTTTGAGTGTTAATTCTGTTTATGTCATGTCATTAGCAATTATTCCCTGTAAAACGTTTTTGTGAATGCAGCTGTGTTTTGAGTTTCTTTTTGTTCACTATTTCCCGCCAGCACAGAACCCACCGCTGAGATCAACAGGGATGTTGCTAAACCATCCACCAAGACCGAGTGCAACAGCTGGTCCGAGGAACGCCGCCGTCATAATGATGCCTGCAAGACCATGAATACAAACATCATAGAATCAGTACCTAGCTAAAACACTTCCTCTACACGCTCAACTTCCTTGACATGCACTACTTCCTCTACACACAGTCCTTCCGCCACACCCACTGCTTCCTCTGCACGCACAACATCCTCAACATGCATCCCGTCCTCTACGTGCACTTTTTCCTCTGCATGCACGATTTTCTCCACATGTACACCATTCTCCACATGCACTACTTCCTTTGCACGCACTACCACCTCTATATGCACAACTTCCTTTACACGCCCCGACCAATATATCATATGGGAAATTCTTTTCACTGACCTATTTGCTAAATTGTGGTACATATTCGAATATTATTAAAATGATTCAAAGGCCAGGGGTGTAATGCGTACAATAGAAAGAATATGTTTCAATAAAAAGCTTTCAGTTGCTTCTGTCTATAAATTGTTTTTTTTTATAGTCAGATGTCACGTTTGTGTACATGATTGCACATGCATATAAAATATGTATCTAAAGTACAGATCTTCTGGTCCAATATTGTTCTTTTGTGTATTCTTGTTAAGTTGTTAAGGGGCATTAAGCTGGGGTCAGTGGACACTCCAGCCAAAGTTTTATTCAAGTCACTCTTTTCCGCATTATCAATGATGTATATCAATCGAGCAGTTACTAATTCTGTTTACACAATGTTCCGATGTTGATAAACGATGAAATCCTCAGTTTCACGATGAACAAAAACGTATTGCTGTGCAATCATGGTCACTCTTATTTCCCATGCTCTCCTGTTTCCCACATGTAAGACTTGAGACCTTACCTGTCAGTAAGCTCGACTGCTGTTTGTCACGGGAGTTATTGTCAACGTACGGTAAACCCAGGGAAAACCGTGGGGATTTACCCATCCCTTGTATCACCATAAGCACGGCAAGCACATTGTACACCCAATGTCCGTTGTCAGTCGCTTGGTCCTTCGTAGCTGGACATCGCTCATGTTCCTTCCCGGAATCCTGACATAGTCTGACATTGTGAGAGGAATAGTTGGAGCCGAGGTCCTCCACACGAGGAAGCGATACAGGATTCATGAAGTGTAACAGACCCGACATTAAACTAGCAAGGCCATACACAGCCAGTGCGCAGGACAGGATCCTAGGTATAAAGCGTCTTCCTCCAAAATGACTGAAGAAGAAAATAGCTGAAAGATAACCGATTTCGCTGCAGCTTAGGAGTAGGCCACTTTTTGTACTGCTGAGGCCAAACTGCTTCTCCACAGAGGTGATCTGAGACACCGTGTAGGATTTGACTGCATCCAACACCAGAGTTGACGCACTGAACACGGCAGTGAACCAGAAAACGTTGTTGAAACAACGGCGTCGACGTCCTCCAGGTTCAGCCATGGCGTCGACACTTCCACGTTTCTCCCCCATCTTGAATATAAACTGTCTGATCGACAGGTGCAAAGGAGATAAAGGTGTGTTATATAATAATTGCAAAGCATTATTTATTCTAAACAGAATGGAAAAAAAATGTCAACGTTGAACTAAAATATGTGAGATAAGTGATGACATTGTGTTTTCATATAATACCTATCAGCCACTTTATGTCCAAATGTCCAGGTAAGTTTGATCACTAATGTTAATATGACTTGTGAGATATATTTAATACAGATAATGTTTAAATGAACATTAGAGTTTAAGTATGCTGATCTTTCAGTTGGACGTTAATTATCTGCATTACGTGGGATTGTTCAAGATTGCCACTTTTTCAGTTTCATATTAGTTAACTGTTTGATTGACATTCTAGAAGATGGAAAGTAAATAAGAAATCCTACAACTTTATGGATAAAAACTTCTTGTTTACTGCATTTATCGATGTTAGCCTAAGGACAAGTACCAAGTTTCTTTGACCTACACTAAACAATCGCGATCATTCTTTTCATTCTCTTGACCTTGAAAATACCCTGATCCTAGATTTGACTGACCAATGTCTCACAACAATTTCCCAAGGCTTTAAGGTTTGATGTAACAGTCCTTAGATGTCCAAGCATCGCATGGTTAAAACAATATGATCAAGGTAGACTGATTGATAATATATTCAAGAAAGATTATCAAAATGTCCAAGTATGATGAACCCACTTGCTACATTTTTAAAACGATTATGAATACATGATTATACCTTATATAACATACTACTTTTCCAATGGTTGCCATTATTGTTCTAAAACTTTAAATGAAAATCTTGCGATGAATAAGACGAAATGAGCTACTGATATTACCATACTTGATAATCAAACATTACATATTGGAATTCCTTACTTTGTATAATGGGATATTCACAAGTCCCTCGAGTGAATCACAGCATCCTCCATTATACAGTGTATTATTTTTCTTATCTACTTCTTAAATACTCTGGACTTGTTCACTACCACAGCATCATTTCGAGCCAAAATTGGAACGGCATAATAGCCTATCAATCTCATAACTCCCAGGTGCGCGAGGTATCACTCAGTGTGATGGTGATAGGAGCAATGGAAGCAGTGACGTTCCCTCGGAAACTAAGCTATTTTATGCAAATCACTTGATTTGAATAATAAGAAATGCTTACTCTCTGTTGGGTGAAAAATAAAACTAGATAGTGACTGTGATATACATGTCATTTATTGTATAAGAAATCATGAAGCTCTGTAGGTCACCTGACATTTCTTGGAATATTGACAACATTTTATTATATTGATAAATTGTTTATAATTCAGAGTGGGACATCTTGTGAAGAGTAACTTCACTCAGGAATGGAGCAATGTCACTGAAGAATGAATGATTACGTTTGTTTGATTTTGTTGACACATTGGCTTGTTTTCAAACAACTTTGAGTGATTAAGTTAAACGTGTCTGCCATCCAATTCAAAACTAAATCTGTAATACTGCATTAGTATAATTCATCGATATTTTTCAGTCACACTATCCATGTTACAATTTCCAACAACAACATCAACCATAAACACTAAAGATTCTAGCGTCACATCAACTAAATTATTTCTTTGCAGATTAGTGTTGTTTGTGCGGTTGTTTGTTGTTTAACGCCGCACTCAGCAATATGCCAGCTTTATGACGGCGGTCTGTAAATAATCGAGTCTGGACCAGACAATCCAGTGATTGACATCATGAGCATCGATCCACGCAATTGGTATACGATGACATGCATCAACCAAATCAGCGAGTCTCACCAGCCGATAGCGTTAGTCGCCTTTTACGGCAATCATGGGTTGCTGAAGACCTATTCTACTCCGGATCTTCATGGGTCTGTGAATTAGTGAGTGAGTGAGTGAGTGAGTGAGTGAGTATGGTTTTACGCCGCTTTTAGCAATATTCCAGCAATATCACGGCGGGGGACACCAGAAATGGGCTTCACACATTGTACCCATGTCGGGAATCGAACCCGGGTCTTCGGCGTGACGAGCGAACGCTTTAACCACTAGGCTACCCGACCGCCCCGAATTAGTGAGTTATTCAGTGAGGTTGTACACCATACTTATGGCGACTGGCGACTTTTGCGATATTTTTTTGTTTTTAAATGACAATGTAGAATTAATATGTTTTTGTATTCTTATAAATTTGTATCAGATTGCATTTAACAAGATACTGTACTACCCATTAACAGAACAAGAGTTCATAGAGGTTGGCTTGTGTGGAACCTTGAGAGACGAGCGACTTTTCTATCCCAAGTGGTCTTCATTTTAAACGTAATACAACAGTAAAATGGTTAGTTTATGGCTTATTTAGTCACATTTTATTATCCGAAGTGTTCTTACTAACTTGAATGCATGATGCCGACGTGAATCGACGAATATGGCGTTGCTGTGGGACGAACTTGGTGGAGCAAGAGCACCAGCGCTCGTTTTGGTTGACTGCAGTATATCATTTGTCTTTAGTTGCCGTACACGGTGTCATATTGGACAACACGAAATTTCGGGCTTTCCTCCCACATTAAGCTGACACGCCGTGATATAACTAGAATACTGTTAAAAGCGGCGTTAAACCCAACTCACTCACTCACTCCGGGAGTCTGTCATATTTACACATCACTAGATAATAGACAACATTGGGTTCTTTCATCAGGGGAATATGGGTGACTATTGTTTAACGTTTTCTTGTATCTTTTCAATATGGAATGTGAGCTATTAGAGGTAGGGTGGGGGCAGCAAGTAATCCATGTGGGTATTGTGGCTAAAATATAAAAGACGTATACATCAGTAGAACTCGGGCTGTTTTTATCCTTTAATTTAACATCTGGACTTAATATATTTTTAATACCGAATGAACAAATATTAACAAGGAGTAATTCAAATTTGGGTAACTGCGTCTCGTTATATTTTCATGATGTTTCTTTTCGATAAGAGTAGATAAGGGTAATTGTGTCAAAGAAGGCGCTGTCTCAATTTAGTAATTGTAAGTTTCAACTACAATTTTCTTCTACTTTGAAATATCGATCTTGGTGGGTAAATGTTGACTACCAGTTCAATTCATTCTGTTCACGCCGCACGGCTCACAGCGACAAAACAGCCTTGACCTTAATGCTTCAAGTGTAGGTAATAATCAAAGTTTAAACGTGACATACCTGTAAGTCGAAGGTTGATCCAGATTGTATGAAATAACCACAAGGAGGCGGAATCGCGTGAGATAGCTAAGCGAGCCCAGGAGTCAAAAGCAAGCACAGGAAAACCTGTGTCCTTCCCAAAACAAACAGTATCGGCAACTACGTGCTCCCATGTCTACCTTGTTTGGCGATGACCTGGCTGAGGCAATAAACACCCTGACTGTTAAGGCGGCTTCACACGACCAACATTAGTTTGCCAACTTGTGTTTCCAGTCGACAAATGTGTATTACAAATAGTTCTGCATGGCGTCTCAGCACCTGGTCCCTATGGCATGTAAGGAAAATCGCGGCGGCAGCCTTATTAATGTATGTTCTCCTTCTGAGACAGGAACTGAAGGTTGAAGACGGATCTTCCTTTAAAAATTATCTACCTTCGGATGAAGCCTGCTTTGGTGACATTTACACTAAGGTGTTTCGGTAGAGGTATAGTTAGAATAGTGTTTGAAAAGTGATTGAATGACTATTGTTTTTACGCCGCTTTTAGCAATATTCCAACAATATCACGAAGGAGAAATGGGCTTCACATATTGTACCCACGTCGGGAATCGAACCTGGGTATTCGGCGTGACGAACGAACGCTTTAACCACTAGGCTACCCGACCGCCCCGTGTGTGGAAGTAAGAGATGCAACATAAGTAAGACCTTGAACATAATTGCAAGTTTCATAACTACAAAACACCGGATCGAAAGGACCTGATCATCAATAAATCGTTGTATCAATATATAATGCAAATTCTGAAGCCGTTGATGCCTAAATTTGATTGTGTTTAATGAGAATTTATCTCTAGTCTATGCTATGGATTTAGTGACACTTCACCGATATCGGAATTTGGTCCGCAGGTTTGACGTGATAAAATTATAAATTTCAATGTCATAATTGTATGTTACCAAAAGTTGCCTTATGCCTATAGATAGTTTTGAAATAAATTTGTGTTCAATGCATTTCCTCCTAAACACTGACACTTCATTTGTTGGAAAAATACTTTCAAGTGCAGCCAAGATCCTGCGTCGGTGAGTTTTGTTGGAGTCAAGTCTCCAGACAGCTCTGGATGATAGGAACCTATTCTTCTATCTAGATGTCTCCCTAGACACCATACTAGAGTGTCATATGTCATTGTTGGACGCGAAGCTTTCCCATTGAAGGAAAAGAGTGATGAAGTCCTATTCAGCTGAAAGCTTAGACATCTACAGTTTTCTTTTCATTTCTTCTGCTGTAAAACACATTTACAGCAACCGATTTAAGTTCCATACATATATATGTTTAATTTTCAAAAAGGAATCTGACTCAAACTGTGTAATCATATATGTAGTCTTGCATGTATTTTGGATTAATGTGTATATACAAGTAAATTGTGTCTATAGGCAATTCTTATGTCTGTCTATGTTATTCTTGCAAAAATTGTGTTTATGTTCTTGTGTAAATATATTTCTCTTTGTTACCATTAATGTAATATGTGCATATGTATATGAGTATGTGTATGTATGTATGAGTATGTATGATTGCTTGTATATATGATTCTGACTGTATATGTATGTATTTCTGTATACGTATGTATATGTATGTGTGTATGTATATGTGTATATATATGTATAATCAATGTCTGGCCATATAGAGTAGGGAAAGGGCCACCTAAGTTGGATGACTTTTGCCCAATCCGGTTGACCATATATGTCAATAAAATATGTTTAAAACAAACATATTATTTGTTTGTTTGTTTTTTAACGCTGCACTCAGCAATATACATCTTTATGACGGAGGTCTGTAACTAATCAAGTCTGGACCAGACAATCCATTGATTGACATCATGAGTGTCGACCTGCGCTATTGGGATACGAAGATATGCATCAACCAAGTCAGTGAGCCTGACCACCCGTTCCCGTTAGTCGCCTCTTACAAGTGTAGTCGCCTCTTAAGACAAACATGGGTTGCTGAAGACCAATTATGACCCGGATCTTCAAGTGTACTTTAGACATATTATATCTATTTCGTACTACCGTTTTACAAACTTTGTTTGACGCCAACGTTTGCAATGAGAGTTTTTACCTCGTCAGGACATTGCGAAGGAAAAGAAATAAAATCAGTGTATGCCATATATGGCCGTATTTCCGAAGTAACAACATCACATATACCCCATCACAGTCCCGGTTTATTTGCAATTTCTATGAAGCATTTTGCTTTTTGTTCTCATCTTTGTCGTCACCTATAGAAATGTCGCAGATGCTGGGTCTGTTATGACTCTCCTCTAGGAATAGAAATATTGTCCTTTTCACTTGTCTCAAATGCCGACGCCATTGTTAAGCAGATGTAAGTCATCATGATGTGACATCCACGTAGTATCTGATTGGTTCTAAGCGACCAATATATGTTTGACAACCGTCGATTTTGACAACACTGAAAAGTTGGCCAACTTATTAATTAGAATAGAGGCCGATTTTAATATGTCACCAACAAATTTGTCAAACTTCACAAACTAGTTTTTAAACTGTTTTTGCAATGTTCACACAGACATTTATGTTTGTGCACATATATCGTCAAACTGAAGTTTGTCGTGTGAAGCCGCCTTTAAAAATAGGATCACCAGTCAACTCGTTTACAATCATGTTTCAGTGAATACATCTACATTTTAAGGCATCATTTCTTGATTACGTGTGTAAACGTGTGTACGTGTGAACGAGTGAATCAAGAAAAGTACCAGAAAAATTCGCATTATCAGACAATCACTTTCATGCAAATGTCATGACACACTTCCTGCACATACCCTTGCGTACTGAACATAGAGCTAACTGAATTATTTCCCCCAGGTCAGACAGCAGGCGAATCTATAGCTAATGATATAAATTGTATTTATTACATTATTTTTATATGAAACGTGTATATAACTGATTGTGCATGTGCTTAGATACATAAGTCCCCGAGGATGATGGGACTGCTTCTTTTGTACCACTTTGTCATGTTATCTGTTTACGTAGTACCACGTGGGTAATAATAGATATTTGTATAGTAACATCAACGCTGTATAGGAAGGCTAACGTATCGCTCTCGAAATTAAGTTATGATCTATAAAGGATGCCTATGATCTATAAAGGATCCCTCGAGTATTAAGGAACCCCAATGAGCTGGAAAAGGTGACTGTGTCTACGCTTCTAGAGCTGAGAAGGAGATGGGAGTGGAAATGGGGGATCTTTTTCGCGAACACCTGGTATCATATTTCAGTGATCCATTCATATAATTTTCACTGCCAGTTTGCCTTTTACGCCAATGGAACATGTTTAGGCAGATGATCAAGACTGATAATTCTCTAGCGTTGACGTTTTATATCCACAACACATGTGTTCTGGCATGGGTAAGAGAGACAATTGGATAGGCTACGAAAGAGGTGAGAGTTTGTACGGGGGTGAATGTGTTATAAAATAATAATGGAATGGGGGTGAAGTTCAGAAATGTATACTCTGGGGTCTGTAAGAGAAACTATTGTATTGTCTGCACGATGATTCATTAATGTCAAGGTCGTCTTGGTCGAAGGGCATCCACTCTCATCTCACTCATGAAACATGAAGGTCAAGGTCAATGCGCCTCGAACCTTGGGGCTAATTTCCCGTTGAGTGAAATATTCTGCAGTAACAATCGATGCTCTGAAAACAAGAATGTCCCGAAATTCATATTATTTCAGTGTAACGGATGGGAAACTCTATTGCTGAACGGGACACGTGAAGACCCGGGGTAGAATTGGTCTTCAGGAACCCATGCTTGCCGTTAAAGACGACAATGTTTGTCGTAAGAGGCGACTAACGGGATCGGGTGGTCAGGTTCGCTGACTTGGTTGATGCATGTCATCGTATCCCAATTGCCATTATATCAATCACTGGATTGTCTGGTCCAGACTCGTTTATTTACAGACCGCCGTCATATAGCTGGAATATTTCTGAGTGCGGCGTTAAACAACAAACAGACAAATACTGCTGAACGGCGGTAGTCATTCATCATTCGCGAAGCCACAGAAACATGTTTAGATTTTCATACATAATCTTAAACATGTTTTAAACTGTGTTTAAATCCTATACAGGATTAGTGGGTGAGTGAGTGAATGAATTTTTGCCGCCGCGGGTGAGACAAGAAGTGGGCTTCACACATTGTACTAAGCAGGGTTAGAGCAAAATGCATCTGGTATATTTATAATACCTGAACACGTTTCATAGTGCAGTCATGGTTATTTCAGGTAGCACAACCTCGGGAGGTTCCCGGCGCCATGCAGCGTCACAGTGGCATCAAAGAAAAGCTCTTGATGACAAAGAGCAAGCTGACAGATTAAACAAGGGGTTGGACACATTGTCCCGCACAACACGGACATGTGGTGAACTCAAACATACCTTTGAGCAAAATAATGAATCTCATATAGAAAATGTGATTTTTCACTAAAAACAACTTCATTTTATTGTTGACAGTTTTATAATTCAACAAAGAATTCTACTCATATTTAATTGCAATCTGAACTTAATAGTAATAGGCTGCAGCCATGGTCAGATCTTCAAGTTCTTCAAGAATTGGCCTAAATTGAGTTACGTGAAGTGTGAACCTATATACTTGAAGAGGATTATGTGTATACTGTATACAGGATTACTGGAATCTTTGTATCTGGTCCATTTGTTTGTTTAAGGCCTATGTACATAAATTATTCATTCTATAAGTGCCAAAAGGCAAGCTCAGTTTTGTTTCCGTCTGGAATGAACATTTAAAACTTTGTCACCTGAACACCACGTTCTTCAGTCTCTTCTGCAGCTTCAGGCTGGTTTTGTGATGTGTCTGAATCAGGGTACTCCTTAACGACGCCATATTTTAGTAAAAGGAAAGCAGCAAAGAAAGCAGCTGACGACAGCAACTGAAGTCCTGTGTCCATCCCCTTCACACGATACCGTAGGTTAGGGAGATCATACAGTGCGCATGCGCCGACCTCGCCACACGTGGTTTCCCAGAGAGTGCACGTGGTGTCAATGACCATCCCATACACAATAGGTGATGGGAGGAATCCTGGGAAAGAAGGATTCAGAATCATGGAGTAATATCGGAATACACACACTCCACATTATACCCGTTCCATTGTAGAATCAGCAAGCATGAGTAGACCCGTGACTTACAGTTATTTCCACGTTTATATTATATTATCTTGTTCAATGCAGATCCACATACATTATGTATACAAAACGAATAAACCCACTGACAATCTGTATCTGTACAAAATGAAACGTTTATTGGGATGTTAATCTCTTGTATGTGAAAAGGAACCTCCATAACACAATAAGTTGTCATACAAGTAGAAAGGGGCAAACTGTTCACATGGATATGTAGGAATTTATTAATAAGTTTCAAGCGGATGGATGATAAATAAAAAATGTGGCGCCGGCGGCCGTCAAATCCTGTATCTACGTCAGGCAGTACTTACCGACAAAACTATTTAGGAAAGACGATATAGCGACAGCCATGGATTTGTCCCTTGGATGCACTGTTCTTTAAGGGAATTTAAAATAATCAAATTAACTAACTAACAACAACATATAATTAAAAAGTTGAGATGAAATGGCATTTAACATCGTCGCTTTCATGATTACTGCCTTTATATAGCGACGTGCATGCAAGTGTGTGTATAGTTGTGTGTGTGTGTGTGTGTGTGTGTGTGTGGCTGTGTGTATATGTGTGTGGCTGCGAGTACAAGTCCACACTATTGCCTATTGTATACTGCTAGCCCATTGAGATACCATGCCGCAGATTAACATGAATAACCCACTCAAACACAGTATACTGACTCCAAGTCGACCGATAAGCATATGTCCATGAAACATTATCAAACAGTCAATTCTTTGAATGACATTTAGAAGAGATACACACAATGAAGAGAAATTATGAATGTCAAAGTCCTGCTTATGAGGAACACCACGTTTCAGAGTATATACTTACTCCTTCATCATGTGAACGAATGCTATGAAGTTGAGAACACATATATGTATCTGTAAGTGCAACAAAAGTAATAAGATAACAAAGGTGGAAACTAAACAAGGGAAGCCAACAGTTCAATGGCGCTGATAGGTGATTAGCAATGGTTAAATGGAAGCCAACATTTTATAGTAAATTAGCTCTGATACCAGCCTTTGCTATCTATATATTTTCACAAGTCTTAAGGTACAATCCAGCATGCACTTCAAAGAGCGTATTATGACTCTGACTCTCCACAAGACTGTATGACAAGAGGGTTGACTTCAACTTTACAAAAGTCAACTTCCCTTTATGTCGAGCAATATTCTAAAAGCTCCAGCCTTTGCTATCTATATATTTTCACAAGTCTTAAGGTACAATCCAGCATGCACTTCAAAGAGCGTATTATGACTCTGACTCTCCACAAGACTGTATGACAAGAGGGTTGACTTCAACTTTACAAAAGTCAACTTCCCTTTATGTCGAGCAATATTCTAAAAGCTCCAGCCTTTGCTGTCTATATATTTTCACAAGTCTTCAGGTACAATCCAGCTTGCACTTCAAAGTGCGTATTACGACTCTGACTCTAGTTGTTTGATAAGATTCCCGCATGCAAGGCCTCAGTAAAGCTTTTAAAATTTTTCATGACACAATGTGAAGGGCATTTTCAAATTTGTCGCATCAGTGACAATAATGATGTCCGATGCGCTTCCCTATTTTGACTTGTACACGTACTATTTGTTCCCGTGGTTTTGGGGTCGAACAATTGACTTGCCCTTTGTATGTCTTCATGATGGGCGTCACTTGTAGAGTGAGATACGCTCATCCTTTCGCGAAAACCTGGTACCATCACTATTTGATAGTTATTCATAACAAATGCTCATGATAAGTCGGAATCGTACAATTTTGATTTCTTATGACTGAGGTCAATCTGCAAGTGTAACAATACACTCCATATGAAACATATAAACCTAATGACACTATCGAAAACTAAAAAGGGCGTTTCTTTAGAAACTAGTTCATGCATCTTTATTCAACATAAAGTATTTGGAAAATTGTACATGTTTTTGTATTCTAGCATTCTGACACAAACCCAACGATATAAAACAATCAAGATGCTGATTTTGCACAACCGGAACACGCGCTGGTATAATTTACATTCGACATCCCAAGTCGTAGTTTAAAGGGACCCTCATCTTATTGATTTGTGGTTAGTTATTTTCACTTAAACATGTGTTATGACACTCTCACAGACTGGTACAAATTTGATTTTGAAAGTGGTTTCCTTCCCTCACCGCCAGTGTTTCCAGTTGAAATGGAACGTAGCAAAGCTCGATTTTGATGACAAGCTCGATTTTGATGACAAGCTCACGCTTTCAAAACATTACCAACTTGAAAAGAAATACTAATAATATAGATATTATATTGGAATTTGTTGTAGGCACCTACTTCATTATGGTCATCATGACAGGGACTAAGGCAAATGTCGCCACCAGGCCTGACACCAGGTCAACAGTGACGTAGGGGTAAAGGTAGGGACAATCTGTCGGACACATGCCCACTGTGCCCTCGTTACCAGGAATCTCTCTACATCCCGTGTACGTCTGAAACATCACAAGTACACAATACAGACCTGAAATACAAATGAATATAAAACAAAAACAAATTGATAGCAGATAATTGGTTTGAATAAAATGTAAACAGAATAATTACAAATAATGCTGCCAGGACATTCCCTGTATTTCACTGTGAATGATCTGGGATACCAATGAAATGGGACACCTACTATGACTTTTAGTGAGATACTTACTGTGCCATACAAACCATACTGTGCCATAGCAAGCCATACAGGAAGTGAGAAACTTACTATGTCATACTAAGAAATAGCAGGAATGAGTACTTACAGTGTCATTCTGAAACTGACATCTCGCCATACCAGGAGTGGGGTACCCACAGCGCCCATCTGAGACTAACATCCTGCCATACAGGGAGCCACTCAGGGAGTGAGATACTTACACTGCCATTCTGAGACTGACATCCTGCCATACAGGGAGCCACACAGCGAGTAAGATACTTACAGTTCCATTCTGAGACCGACATCCCGCCATACAGGGAGCCACACAGCGAGTGAGATACTTACAGTGCCTTTCTGAGACGACATCCTGCTGTACAGGGAGCCACACAGGGAGTGAGATACTTACACTGCCATTCTGAGACCGACATCCTGCCATACAGAGAGCCACACAGGGAGTGAGATACTTACAGTGCCATTCTGAGACTGCCATCCTGCTATACAGGGAGTCACACAGGGAGTGAGATACTTACAGTGCCATTCTGAGACCGACATCCTGCCATACAGAGAGCCATACCAGGAGTGAGATACTCACACTGCCATTCTGAGACTGCCATCCTGCCATACAGAGAGCCACACAGGGAGTGAGATACTTACAGTGCCATTCTGAGACTGCCATCCTGCCATACAGGGAGCCACACAGGGAGTGAGATACTTACAGTGCCATTCTGAGACGACATCCTGCCATACAGGGAGCCACACAGGGAGTGAGATACTTACAGTGCCATTCTGAGACGACATCCTGCTATACAGGGAGCCACACAGGGAGTGAGATACTTACACTGCCATTCTGAGACCGACATCCTGCCATACAGAGAGCCACACAGGGAGTGAGATACTTACACTGCCATTCTGAGACTGCCATCCTGCTATACAGGGAGCCACACAGGGAGTGAGGTACTTACAGTTCCATTCTGAGACTGACATCCTGCTATACAGGGATTGATATATGTCACGCCGTCAACGCCACACAGAGGCATGAACGCAGTTGCATCACAATTGCAAACGGTATCGTTGACCATGGCGTTTCTGAAATATATTGGTAATGTCAAAGTCAGTCATCCCCCCCAAGATAATGTTAAGTTTTTCTGTTTGAATTATGATACGATAATTACAAACACTCACTCGTAAGACTGTCCAGTTGTTGCTCGTTACCAACTATGTGGTTTCTTTTGCAATAATGTCCGTAAGAAGCATTGATTTCAAAACGAGATTGTTGTTTTGTGGTATTTCCATTTCTTAAAAGGATTCAATATTCAACATTCTATGAAACAAAGGTCTGGTAAATTTATACAAAGAACAAAGGTCTTCTGTTACAAAATTGCTATTAAGTATTTACTTTCCCAGTGTGTTCCTTTCACTATTTTTGAAGTCGAAATGTGAAGTAAAGTAAAGTAAATGTGTTTTGTTTGTATTTTACTATGACAGCAGGTTTATAAATAGTTTATCACGTTGGTTAAAAAACATAGTTTTATGGTACACATGTGGAGGATATTTTTAAATCTGTCGTATCTGTGATAACAATGATGTCTGATGCAATTTGTTTACTTGTACCAGCATGTACCTGTGGGTTTTTTTTCAGGTGAACAATTTAATTGTCTTTGCAACGTTGTGACGGGTGTCAACAAGACTAGGTTAGATGATGGGGGTACTACAATACTTTTAGGAGAGATGTCTTATGATTATGGAAAGAATTTTGTTGCTTTTATGTTATTATTGATACTCATGTCAACCCAGTTACATCTGGTATGTTTTCTAAATGAATGATTCCCAATGTACTTTTGAGATAAGGTAGTGGTAATAAATGTAGACTTTTCTTGCTAATATTTTGCTTGCTGTGTGTCGAGAGAAGAAGAGTGATGTAAATGACAATTTGAAAGACACTTGGGTATATATGTACTTCCACACAATGCCACATCACTTGTATCTGGAGTGAGGTGTCGTGTGTGGACTGGTAATAACAATGGACACTTACATGTTTCCTCTTCCCTGCCTCCGACAAAGCCACTGACGGTCTGGTAAGACGGTAAGAACTCACACTTACCAACTGCGAACTAAACTTGCCACTTTAACACCTACCTGATGTCACCTGAACGCTAGATGTTTTGGCGAAAATACCTGACACTCATCTACTGCAACTATAACTCTCAATGTTCTGGTTATAACTTGTCACTATCAGCTGTCGCCTGGACACACTGTTTATGACCACTGTCACTGTCACCTTAACCATCCCCTGGTTGTAATTACTGCCACTTACCTGATGTCACCTAGGCCCTTGATGTTCTGGTTGTCACATCCTAAGAACAACGTGACAGAATAGAGGGCAGTTCCAATGGTTACCACTATGGTCGTGAACTTTATACATCCCATGCTGGTCAGTTTGAGTCGGCTAGTGAGGATGCCTCCAAGTAGAGTGCCCACAACCGCCCACAGCAGCTCTAGAATACCTTCAACACATGATTGAGCTTTGAATTTCGTTGAAAAGTGAATATAATTTTGGTTTCCACTTTCAAACAGCCAGATTATCCTGTTCATATACCTTTACTGCAAATACCTACCTTTAATCTATTTCAGATTGACAGACAAGTCCATCCCCATTGGAAACAAAATGGGCGATTCCCTACTTTTGAGTAAGCTTCAGACGACTCCACCTTGGTCCCAAGACAGCTGGCAGATACGAGTTACAAGTCTTTACAATATGGACAATGCCCAACAATAATCTGTTTCCTTCTCACTGATCCATGCAGTAAAAACATAATGACAATTTAAATTGTAGATGCCGTTTTATTGGAAAAGGCAACATCATCGTTACTTACTTAATATGAAGTTCGCCTCAGCTGCTGACGTAGCAAATTGGTTCGCGATGTATTTCGGGGCGAATCCTAAATAGCCTCCAACAAAGAACAAAGCACTAGCGGATCCAAAGAGGAGACAGTCGACTGCTGGGTTTTTCAATATCCGTAATACCGACCTCGGCATGTCTGCAAATTAGAAGTCATCAGAACAAGAGAACATCTAGCGACCAACTTCTGGTCGGATATTCATGTATGGCGTTTCCGTTGAGGAAAGTCTTCAGAAAGTGACCGATTGATGCGTATGATAGGTCGTCATATAGCGTATGTCATATAGCCTTTAATGATGTGCCAGCATGGGACGTTGAAGGATGACTGGTAATAGAACTAACGGGCAATGTAAGTCCTATGCATCACCACACAGAGTTTGCATTGGGAAAAGCATTACCTCATCGCCATAGTGTCCTTCAGTTTAAATATCAGAGACCTATGCTTCCCATCACCATATACCACCCCTTGCATACAAGCAATCTCTCTGGGCAATTGTTGTAAATGAGTAATTTTAAGCATGTTGCATGGAACCATACCGGATGTCTTGTATAGAAGTGTAGAAATGTCTTACCCACTATATCGTCTTTAAATGACTTGGTTGTTTCAATGGCTTTGACTTTGGGTTCCTTAATGTGCTTTGGAAAGCAGCCCAAGGGTACAGCAACAAGGAGGGCTGCACAGCCAAAGATCAGGTACCCGAGCCACCATGCCCCGATCCACTGGGGGCTACGACCATCAAGCTGGGACTCTTGAAATCAAAACATACCAGAAATATAATTTTTATTGTATGTGTGGCGTATTGAACAATTATTTATAATATTAAAACTAAGTCTAGTGGATAAAATAGCCTCCATATTTGTTGACATTTGAAACTTTTAAAAGGCATCATTTGTTGGAAGTGTAAAGGCATATAACTTATTCATTGTAGCTTTCTACGTATTTGATTGTAAATTATTTTTGTGTAAATGTTGTGAAGGGACATTGAATTGGTATAATTTAATTTCTGCTTTCTACATAATGCGAGCACAAAACCCACCGCTGAGATCAACAGGGATGTCGCTAAACCATCCACCAAGACCAAGTGCAACAGCTGGTCCGAGGAACGCCGCTGTCATAATGATGCCTGCAAGACCATGAACACAAACATCATAGAATCAGTACCTTAGCTAAACTCATACATTCACTACTTCCTCTACAAGCATTACTACATCCATATGCACAACTTCGTCAACATGCACAACTTCGTCTACATGCACAACTTCCACTCATGCACAACGTCCTGTACAATCACACCTTACACTACACGCAGTACGTCCTCTACGTGCACGACTTTACTGCATGTACCTCTTACTCTACACCCAATATATCCTCATAATTTCCTGTACAAACAATACTACCTTTACACACACAACTTCCTCTACACACACAGTTTTGCCCTACATGCATACTTTTCCCTACAATCATTACTTCCTCTATATTCACTATTACCTCTATACTAACTACTTCCTCCTTATGAACTACTTCTTATACATTCTTTACAACTGTTTACTTACTTTTATTGATCAATGTGACTTAAAATAGTCAGATGTGATATTGTTGAATTGTTAGAGAGGTTTTTGCAAATGACAATGTTTTTTCTCCTCACTTAGATGATGAAAATGAACTCAGTTCTAATCAGTTTACAGATATTGATGCATTCATACTAAATTCTACGATAACTGAACATGAAATTACATCATCAATAAATAAGTTAAAAAAAGGAAAATCCGCCGGGCCCGATCAAGTGCTGATAGAAATGCTTAAATGTTCCCAATTAGATATTATGCCATTTCTTCATAAATGTTTCAACAAACTCTTTGATAATCAAATATTTCCAAACAGTTGGTCTTGTTCAGAAATAGTCCCTCTACATAAAAAAGGCGATCCGAGAAACCCTGACAACTACAGGGGGATCTCATTAATGAGTGTTCTGGGGAAAATTTTTACCTCTGTTTTGAATAACAGGCTTACTAACTGGGCAAATATGAGAGATAAGATACCGGAAGTTCAAGCTGGTTTTAGAAAAAATTATTCAACCGTAGATCATATTTTTACATTATATGCTGCAATTCAAAAATGTCTAACACGTCGTAAACACAAGGTTTACGTTGCTTTTATTGATTTTAAAAAGGCATTTGATACAGTTGATCGTTATAAATTATGGTGTTGTTTAAGAAAAGCTGGACTACAAGGGAAGATGTTTAATATAATACAATCAATGTATTCAAATATCAAGTCATGTGTACGTAGTGATTATGGTGTTACTGATTTTATCGATTGCCCATCTGGTTTACGTCAGGGATGTATACTGAGTCCTCTGTTATTTTCGTTTTTCATAAGCGAATTATATTATGAAATCTCAAGTAACGGCAAGCATGGTATACAGATGTATCCTGACATCCTTGAACTTCTTATGCTCCTTTTTGCCGATGATGTTATTTTACTATCTGACACTGTTATTGGTCTACAGAATCAGTTGAATGTATTAGATAAATATACTAAGGAATGGAATTTATCTGTAAATTTAGATAAGACAGAAATTATAGTATTCAGAAAAGGGGGTCCTTTAAATTTTAGGGAAAGATGGTACTTAAATGGACAACAAATTAATGTAGTTAATGGTTATAAGTATCTCGGCATAATGTTTAATTCAACACTAAATATGAACAAATGTGTATCTGACTTATCACTGCGAGGGAAACGAGCTTTACTTAATATAATGTCTGTTTCACATAAACTTGGAGTTATTACTCCAAAAGTATTTTTCAAATTATTTGATACTCAAATACAGCCAATTTTATTGTATGGATCTGAAGTGTGGGGTTACCGAAGATATGAATGTTTAGAAAGAATTCACCTACTGGCATGTAAAAAGTTTCTTCGCGTTGGAATAGCAACACCAAATAATATGATATATGGAGAATGTGGAAGATACCCACTTTACATTAATTCACAAATAAAGTGTTTAAAATATTGGTTTAATATCATCCGTATGCCAGAACATCGGCTTCCGAAAAAAGCTTATAACATGCTCTTTCATTTAGATAGTATCGGTAAGGTTACATGGGTATCGCATATTAGGACACTATTATTCTCACATGGATATGGGTATATATGGCTTAACCAATCTGTTGGTGATCAACATTTATTTCTAAATTATTTTCGTAAAATAGCAATAAATATGTTCTATCAAGGGTGGCAATGCAACTTGGAAAATAGTTCACGTTATGATTTGTACAGAACATTTAAGACTCTATTAGAGCCAGAAAAATATCTATCAGTTTTAACAAATAGTCACCTAAGAAATGGATATATTAAATACAGACTTGGCTTGTCAAAACTTATGATTAACTATGGACGGAATATATCACTTGAAAGAATACAAAGAATTTGTCCATTCTGTAACTCTGCAATAGAAGACGAAATACATTTTACCTTTGAATGTCCTTATTATGCAGAATTACGTACTAAATATATACCAGAATGTTTCTTATCTAAGACAAGTAGAATAGCTTTTGTTTCTATTTTGTCATCGAATGATGCCGATGTAATGTTTAAACTGTCTTTATTTGTAAAACATGGGATGGAACTACGAAATAACATGTTGAGTGGAAATTCATAATTTTAATTACCTCACCCTAGAAAGTCCTCATGATTATCACCGATTGTTAAATGAATGTTATATTTATATAATTTTTGTTGTATCTCCCAATCTGTAAATTCTCACCCACTGTATTTATCTGAACTTGTATATGGGCCGATGGCCTTTGATACAATAAACATCTTTGACTTTGACTTTGAATATGATCACACAATTATATAGGCTTCATAATTTGTTAAAGGGCCACACAGCTCGGTTCAGTGGGCACTCCAGTAGCCAAGTTTTATTAAAGTCACCCAATTCCGTTTTGTTTGTCTGTTAGCTAATCTATCTATATAAATGGCCGCTAGTCTCAACAACGTTGTCTCAGAAAAATGGAAATATTTTTACAACGAACCATGAACTTCTCTATTTCATAATGAATTGAAATATTATTCAGACTTGAGACCTTACCTGTCAGTAAACTCGACTGCTGTTTGTCACGCGAGTTGTTGTCAACGTACGGTAAACCCAGGGAAAACCGTGGGGATTTACCCATCCCTTGTAACACGAAAAGCACGGCAAGCACATTGTACATCCAATATCCGTTGTCAGTCGTTTGGTCCTTCGTAGCTGGACATCGCTCATTGTCCTGCACGGAATCCCGACATAGTCTGACACTTTGTGGAGAGGAATAGTTGGAGCCGAGGTCCTCTACACGAGGAAGCGATACAGGATTCATGAAGTGTAACAGACCCGACATTAAACTAGCAAGGCCATACACAGCCAGTGCGCAGGACAGGATCCTAGGTATAAAGCGTCTTCCCCAAAAATGACTGAAGAAAAAAATAGCTGAAAGATAACCGATTTCGCTGCAGCTTAGGAGTAGGCCACTTTTTGTACTGCTGAGTCCAAACTGCTTCTCGAGAGAGGTGATCTGGGACACGGTATAGGACTTGACTGCCTCCAGCACCAGGGATGACACACTGAACACGGCAGTGAACAAGAGGATGTTGTTGAAACAACGACGCCGAGGTCCTCCAGTTTCAACAATGACGCCGACACTCAGACCGTTCCTCTCCATCTTCAAAATCTATAACTGATCGACAAAATAAAGGTGACATACATGGATTATTTAATAACTGCAAAGGATTATTTATTCTAAACAGAATGGAAAAAGTGTCACCATTTCACAGCACTGGATGTGAGTAGTAGCATTTATATAAAATCTGTTAATCGATCGATAAAGCAATGATCTTTCAGTAGTGATCCGCATTTAGTTGGATCGTTCAATTATGTTGATCTTTCAGTTGGACATATTATTTGTCTATGGTTCGCGTTTCTTTTGGAATGAGTGTATACTCTTCACAAAAATTAGGGGATATTCGAAAAAAACCTTTCCAAACATGTTAAAGATATTAGTTTCTAGTTACAGTCGTATGGTAATATTGAACAAATTTGGAACACATTACAACCGGTAGTGAAGTATGACAGTGTATATTTACCAAATATTGAGCTACATTGACAGCAATGTAAAAACGGAATAGGCTTGCTGGTTTAACACGGTAAAAATTGATTTTCCCGAACTGGTATAGTGAGATCACCGATAATATAACAGTTCTCACTTTTGTAAATATTAATATAAACTGCCAACGCAAGATATCAACCATCCTAGATTTTCGTCAGAATAAGGTTCCATTTAGCGAATAGAAAGTTATTAGTACTTCCGGTTTGATTCGTAAGTTCAAATAAAGACAGCTTGTGTTTTCCTGAGCCGAAAGTGCTCATGAATAGATTTTGTGGTTTTAATTGCTACTGCGGAAGGCATCTGGTGTCTTAAACCGGAAGTGATCAGGCGTATTGATGCAGTGCTGAAACTAAAGCTGTTGCGTGTAAAGTGAAGGTTATCTATATACGCACTACATTATGCACTATAACCCCCCGGTGTGTCATGGAATACAGGCGTTATACAATGTCACAGATCTCTCCCATCACAAATGTACATCATGGACTAGAGCTGTACTTTTAGCCCGATTCAAATGTTGTATTTCCTTTTCAAGGCCATTGACCCACATACAAATGCACATAATTTACAATTGGCAATAGGCAATAGAAGCACATATCATTAAAATATTGGAATGATATTTTCTAGATATGTGACTTTCTTAATAATCATAATGGTAGTTGACAGAACTTCATTAAGTTGACTACATGAGGTTCGGCTTTCAAATTCAAAACATGGAATGGTTGGTAAGATCGCAAAGTTATCCAGTAAATGTTTCTTCGTTAAAATATGAGGAACATTAAACATCAAGTGTCTAATGTACGAACTGAGTTACTTCCCCGTCAACATCCCCATTACGAGTATAATGTCTGACACTTACACACAAGTACACCTTTTTCTCTTCTTCTATAGCATACTATATATAAAACAAGCTCATTGTGATGTTGAAAAGTGTCAAAATTTCGAAATCAAGCACAATTTCACAGTCCTATCTAACCTTTCACCTGCCCTGGGCCTTGTCTATACCAGATACTTGTACTTTATCAAATACTGCTCTCCCTCCTTGAATAATTCATTTATAACTTTATAATGGCCTGGTGCTTTCGCTACTTTAAATTTGCCAATTGAATTAATTTGATTAACTCTTTGTGACGTCGTTCATTTCTTCAAACACTATCGTAAATGTATCGTCTTGCTGCGGAAAACAGAACATCTGCATACGCCAATAATTCTGAAATACGTGTTACCTCCGAGAGAAACCCGTGAAGATCCGGTAAGAATAGGTCTACAGCAAGCCATGATTGCGGTTGGAGGCGATTATGCTTGCTATGGGATCGGGTGGTCAGGCTTGGTGACTTCGTTCATGCATGTCATCGTATCCTAGTTGCGTACATCGAGGCTCATGGTGGCAATCACTGGAATCTCTGGTCCAGACTCGATTATTTTCAGACCGCTTTCATGTAGCTGGAATATTGCTAAATGCGGCGTTAAATACAAACAAAACCTCCGAGAGGTGTATAAAAAATGCGGACACGAACGATGAATAATTATGTTGCCATTTTTACATGGACTTGTATATCTAACGATGCTGTTGAACCCGTTCACAGGGAATTTACGTGGTGATGTGCATCAAACTGAGAAGATCACTTACACTATACCAGCAGATGCAGATAGTATAGCTGTACAGGAGCACTCATTGACCAACAGTACTACTCACAGATTGATTGAGCTTCACGTTATCCGACCTTAATGCTGCGTATGTGGTGATAACAGTATGCAAGTGGTTCTGCAAGTGGTTCTGCAAAATGTTCTGCAAGTGGTTCTGCAAAAGGTTCTGCATGTGGTTCTGCAAGTGGTTCTGCAAGAGGTTCTGCAAGTGGTTCTGCAAGTGGTTCTGAAAGAGGTTCTGCATGTAGTTCACCTACATGTACCTCGGCTAACTGTACATGTGCTACAGCACAGTGATATGTATGTTATATGTTGTCTTACTCTAACAAACAGCTTGATATCGACGTACCAGGCTCTAGATGAGTTATGCAATCTGTGTAACTCACTTTGTGCTCAAGGTGACTGTTATCCCTGGAGACCTCAATGCTGACATGTCAAAGGCTGTGTCATCTCGAGATAAACATTAGTTTTGTGTACACGATTTTTTAGTGAATACAATAGAGTATACACTTACAAGTAAAGACACTTTCGGTAGATCGACATAGATTATATCCTCATACCGTCTCATTTACAAGGGGCGTTGAGTTAGCCTAGTTATTAAAGCGTTCGCTCGCCACGCCGAAGACCCGGGTTCGGTTCCCCCAAACATTCTGGTGTGATGTTGCTGGACTTTTGCTAAAAGCGGCGTAAACCACTATGCTTACTCACCCACTCATTTACAATGTAAGGTGGTATTAAAATGTGTATACTACTTAGAAAACCTCTGATCACTTTCCATGTGAGACTATCAACTAATACAGATAGGCCCGTGTACTAAACATATGGCAAAGGATGTCTGTTTTATTGAACGGAATACAGCTACAAATGGTGAGATAGCATCTACAAAGTCTCCCTTACTAAACTGTTATCTAGTATTGACAATGGCTGAGTACTACACAGGACGGCACTGAGACACATGATGGTGGAATGTTTACTCTTAAAAATGGGATACAAATTTCCCAAATTGTAAGAGATATGTTTCTAGTAATAATTAAATGACAATAATGATCGAATTGGCAACACATTACAACCGGTAGTAAAATTTCAAAATTGACGTTTTTGGACCAATAGTGCATAATATCGCCATGATTTGTGAAACATTCATTCACTCGACGAGGCATAGTGCGTATGATTCTCCCAATGGCGATTTTAGGGAGTCTGTCCCACTCCCACTGTCTCGTCAAGTTCAACCAACGTGGTCGCCGTCCTATGACGCCGACGCACACGTCTCCTGATCATGCCCAAAACGTGTTCACCGGGGTCGACCCCCAACATTTTGGGTTTGATATTACCTTGTGATAGTGAACAATTCGAACAATTTAACTTTGTCACCACATCTAAACTAGCTTATATAAAACTAAGTCTTGACTATGACGAATGTAGCACTGGTATTTAATGGACTGATATTTCTGTATCTAAAGTTGGCTGTTTTATACTAAACGTCCTATGAATATATCACCTGGCCCAGATTTATTCATAACGAATTCATCATGAGCATATTTTGGGCCGTGGTGAACTGCTGTTACAAAACTACCGTCATATAGCTGGAATATTGCTGAGTGCGGCGTTAAACAACAAACAAAACCCAAAACAAAATAACACACCATTCATAAAGTCAGCATTTCTGCCATTTATATTCAGATTAATCCTAACTTGTATTTTGTATGTGAAAAAAAGGAAATATTAGGAATTGGAGTTTAATATTGTTTATGTTTAATTTGTACAATTATTAAATCAGAATTTGGATGTGACAAGCTTCATGCCTTAAAATTTAGATAGACCACAATACTAGGGACCGTGGGCTCTTACGAATGGAATGTGTCAACACACAAGGAAATAATAAATACGGTTCCTGATCCTGCATGTTACCTTCTAATCAAATATGGGGGTGGAAATAGATTTAACAACATTATACAGTTATTACATTCATTAATAATACATAAATGCGACAAAGTGTTCTTAAAATAATCTCTCGATTGTGCATGTGTTTATGAATCACTATCAAATAGTGATGATACCAAGTGTTCGCGAAAGGTCGACCGTAACCTGCTCCAAGGGTCACCCGTCACAAACACATGCAAAAACAAGTCAACTGTTCACCTGAGAAAAAACACACGTACATATGGTTCAGGTCAAAATGAGGAATTGAATCGGATATTTTTTGTCCCTGTGCCAAATTTGGAAATGTCCTCCACATGTCTACCATAAAACGTTTAGAAATTTTCAGGGAGGCCTTGAATGTTGTAATCTTCATCTAACAACTACTGAGCTAGAGAACGCATGGCGCTCTTTGAAATCAGGGTAGAAACAGCATCCTTGATTGTACCTCAAAAGTAAACACCACAGGCCAGAGCTGCAGAAATACTGCTCAACATGAAGAGAAAGTTAACTATTGGAAAGTTGAAGTCCCTTCTTTAGTAATGTATCAATGTAGACTCAACTACAGTACTTTGTATGGTTTTGCCAGAATAGATGAACAGATTGAGGAGACTAAACTTTGAAGGATCGCGAAAAGCAAAATAAATCATCTTATTATGAACTTTTGAAAATATATAATGTTTGTAATAATATGGTGATTAGGTATATTGTCTATCATACATGAAATCCAGTCAGACAGACTTACCAACTCAACATTAGAATCTCACGCTCTGGCTGCACACTGACACCGCCAACTGATCAGCAACGATGGAATGCGTCATGTAACATGTCTGTCAGGTCAATGTTATGATATTTCAAACTAGCGTACTCAATGGAGTAACGCACAATGCTGACGTGAGTGTGACCCACCGGAGCGGCGCAGCAGCCTGTGTTCGCGACGACAAATCAAAATATTTCAGCAATTTCTCGCAAAATGTGTTCAGTCATGAGAGTGGAGTTAGATGAAATTTGAGGCTTCCCCCAGCCTACCCCTGAAAGTTTTTAAAAAACCCCCGAAAACATAACATCGAAGATGTCCATGAGGACAGATACCAAGTTCTTCAACGGAACTTGCTTGGCAGTGAATAAGTTGCCCAAGCAGCTCACAATACTAGCACTGTCAACCTTTATTGGACTCTATGAACTCAAACGTTCAACAATTTATTTTCTGACATGGTGATTATAGCTGACTACAACAAACAGCACTCGCAGGTGGTTCACACTTGAAGCTTCATCAATACTTCTTCAACAACTTGTTCCATCAATCAAAGATATGTATATACAGCAAAATCTGCATTAAATCGATTACGTAGTGACAAATATTTGGTATGAGCTTGGATTTCCAAAAAAATCATCAATCTCAGCAAATGTAAAATATATCTCTAGCAACGGACATTCAATAGAATATCCCTGGGACAGAGGATCTTTCTGTAGAGATCAAGTTTATGTCCCTCGCGTAAGAATTAATTACTGAAACGAGTCCCGGGGATATTGTATAGAAAGTACCACTGGCCAAAATTGTGCTATAGAAAGATTCTCTGCCCAAGGGATATTCTATTGAATGTCCCTCGCTAAAGATTTACTTTATATGTGACCACAATCTACATCTGGAATTGTGCGGAATGATGTAAACTCAAGCTACAAATGTGTTCTTTAAATGTTCTGTAGATCGAACTTGCAACCTTATATGGATTCAAAAAAGTGGTAAAAGTTTGAGACCTAGATCGCTTTAGGCTTTCCTCCTCGCGTGGACGTCTACTTTAGCCTTGTTCTGGTGTGTCGTCCAACTGCTTGTCGTTATACTGAAAGCACATATTGTTATTATCTTTGTAAGGTAATAGGTAAGATTCCAGTTTGAGATATCAGCTGGACAAGATTTCGGCTGTTAGGATAATATATTGTAGGGTAGGTCTTATTGGCGGCTCTATTTTGGCCATCTTTCTTATTAGTGTTGAAACTTATGATGTTAGGTACAGTTAATATTGACAGTGTCCTCTCGTGCACCGCATTGTTTGACATTCCACCCTGCGTTCCAACAAACTTTCCACAGCTCCGGTCGCATCGATACAGTTTTAATGTAACGGCTTATTGTATCAATGAGTATCTGTAACCTCTTTGTACTGTCTCTAGGCAGACACAATTAATGTATCACAACTTCTTTAGAGTACTGTAATAACGACGCTTCAGTATAGATCCTTTTTCCGTTGTCAAGACAGACTGAATAGCGAACATTGTACAAAATATACGGAGCAGGTGGGGGATTAACAATAACAACACATTGTTTTCATGAGAGATTAACATGAATAGGTTTAATAGTGACGGGGGATAATATTGTTATAGCATGATAGACAAAGAACACATGACGAGAAAGCCAATCAAACAGGAATAAACATGCATGAGTGGGATGATTATTGTTTAATGAGTTCACAGTATCGGATGACATGAATGAATAAAAGAATGAATTCTAAATTTCCTCCAGAGTTGCATCCGAAGATCATTCATGGGCAAATACATGATTTACAATATATTAGTTACATAACTTGTCAATTGTTGCATCACCAAACTTGTAACTTTCTTTATTATGAGGTGTCGTGTTTTACAGAATACAATTGGTTTGCTGGCATATTAACGAACTGAATCAAGTGAAGACTGAAAGGGAAGTAGACAAGAGTGTTGTATCATCGGCCAATAAGACACAGGTTATATCAAATCCATGAATAGCGGTCATTGTTTGCTTTCCTTAATTCGCATATAAGATCATTTATGAAAATGAGAAAGATATACCTTGCCCAGCACCTTGTTTAATGGGAAATGTATGTCTCCGTTGTATGATATAAAATCCGTATAGCTTTGGAAAAGTAGGTTCCATGATTTGCCCTTGAAACCAATGTCATGTGACTTGACAAATAAACCGTCATGCTAGATACGATCGAAAGCCTTTTCATAATCTGAAAATGCAGCAAACACTTGCGATGATTCTCTTCCTGGATTGAAACACATTCTAAAACGACTAAAACTTCGGGTTATGATTGGAAGTTACTGAGAGTGTATTTCCCCTTCTACGTAAAACGATTTTCTCCAAGGGTTTAGATAAACATGATGAAAGAGTTATCCTACCGTAATTACGGGGATCACGTTTGTAGTTTATAGACAGGTATAATTATACCTTGTCCGAAGGCACATGGATAGTACAGGGATGCAAGTATGTGACTGAATAGGTGTATTGAGTGGTACTACAAGTGCCTCTCCTTCAAATATTAAGAGCTCATTTAAGACACATTCAGGCCCTGGATATTTTTTTCTTTTAAGGTTGTGTAAATTGATTTGATTTCTGAGATCTGGATCATCCATGGATCATGTTTACCACGTTTTTCTTCAATAATAAAATGAAGTTTTGATACAATGGTGAATTTAACGTTTTCATCAAATTATTGAGAGTGGTGGGGTTTTGCAAAGACTGAAAAATAGTCACCCCACAGTTTACATATATCAGCTGAAGAAACAGCACTACATCCTTTGTAAACTAATATTACCAATAGCTGTACTTACGTGCGTCTCAGCTTACAAACATGTTTACAGAATGTCTTTATATCGGCTTCACCTGTCTTTTCTAGCTCTGTACTTATTTCTTTACATTGTTCACGTTTTGATTTTAGGTGTAAACGTGTAAATACCTTTGAGCATTTTTATAGGATTTGTATAAGCTAGAGTTTTCGCCCGATGGCATATTGTCCGCTATCCATTCTTGTCTTGTCTTGGGGTTCACGTAACCTATCATATCAGTAGGCGGATGGTCATACCACCCGCTTTTTATGAACTCAATAAACAATCATCCTGATTTCTGAGTTGTGAGTTTCCATAGAAAGCCTTCATCTCTGTTGAATGATGGCTTGTGGCGGCAAAACTTCAAGCATCAAATCAAACAGTACATCAGCCACCTCGAACCATATCAGCAACTGCTCCATTCACAACATTAATTGTGAAAACGTCCAATCCTCTCCAACAACCTACATGACTTCCCTAAAAGAAAACTAGCAGGAGCAGTTAAGATTCGCTGGTACATAGTTCTACACAGCAAGGGATTACGGTGAACCCAACCAGACCCTTTGAGGGAGATAATGGAACTCATATCGAAACTGATTTTTCATTACAAACACCTCTTTACGTGACATTTAGAAGTTGGTATGATGAACAAGGGCGATAATCATATGCTTATACAACGTGTTTATTACAATGAATGATGAAAGCGACGTCACCTCGCCTCACAACGAAAAGCATGTTTGATGACGGTGTTAGTGTCTACACCGAAACGTCGCATTCATTGTAATAAAGAAGTTGCATAACCATAGAACTATCTCCCTTGTCACTATAACTTTGTCACCTAAACACCACGTTCTTCAGTCTACTTCTGCAGCTTCAGGGTGGGTTTGCGATGTGTCTGAATCAGGGTACTCCTTAACGACGCCATATTTTAGTAAAAGAAAAGCAGCAAAGAAAGCAGCTGACGACAGCAACTGAAGTCCTGTGTCCATCCCCTTCACACGATACCGTAGGTTAGGGAGATCATACAGCGCGCATGCGCCGACCTCGCCACACGTGGTTTCCCAGAGAGTGCACGTGGTGTCAATGACCATCCCATACACAATAGGTGATGGGAGGAACCCTGGGGAAGAAGGATCCAGAATCATAAAGTAACACAAGAATATACACAATCTACATTCATACATTCCATTGTAGAATCAGCAAGCGTGTACTTGTCAATGTAGATCTGCAACTTACAGTCATTTCAAACTTTATTTTGAACTTTTGTTTACCTTGTGTTTTTTCAATGCAGATACATATGAATAACGTATAAAGCAAATGAAACTTGTCACTGTCCAAAATGAAGCATTTGTTTGGATGTTAACCTCTTGTATGTCAAAATGGAACCACAGTAAAATACTATACAAGTAGAAAGTTGCAGACGAAGCATCACCCTAATATTTGTAACACCTTCAGGCTGTTATCCTTGTAATTACTGAAGATGCACATACAATCCTCATGTGTATATATGCAGGAGTATTTCTAGGTATGAAGTCTCCAACATGTTTCAAGCGCGGGGTTGATAGAATATATCGTCGCTTCGGTTGCGGTCAAATACGAGCAGACTCAATGCACAGTCCCCACATACTGTGCCTGTACTTACCGACAAAACTATTAAGGAATGACGATAAAGCAACAGCCATGGACTTGTCCCTTGGATGCACTATTCTTTAAGGGAATGAAAAAATCAAATTCAGTCAAAATAATATAGCTAACAATACAAGATAATGAACTAAAAATGACATAAGGGAAACGAAATCACTTAACTGAATTGCGTTGACAACATACCCCGTCGTAAATCAAAGCTACAACAATAATTTCCATAATCATAGGACATTTCTGTGAGTCCGTTGTACGATTCCGATAAGCATGTGTTCATGAATCAGTACCAAATAGTGATGATAACAGGTGTTCGCGAAAAGGTGACAGTACCCTGCCCCATTCTTGACATAAATCATAAATTATGACATGTTGTTGATATAACAATATCCATTTATTTGCCATATACGAGATAAATAGCAAGAAACAGCGAGTTTGTATACCTTACCAAACCTTTCAAGGAATCAATGCGGCATAAAAATGGGACGTTTAACCAAGTGCTGATAACACCGAAATCTACTCGGAATATCAGTGCTGACGTATGTTTAACTTTGCAATCCAGTACACATCGATAAAAAAAATGAGAATTTATTTTGTACACAATATATAATCATTCTGTATATACGTGGTGATAGGGTATTCCTAACCCTTTCATAGCAACAATCACTTATGGAACACGAATCTCCTATTAAGAGTTCGTTCCATAGCTTATTGTTATGGAGCAATCTGCACCTTATATTGGAACAGGTATACTGTCTTTATATATCTTATATTGACCCGTGAAGATCCGGGGTAGAATAGGTTTTCAGCAACCGATAATTGCCGTAAAAGGCGACTATGCTTGTCGTAAGAGGTGACTAACGGGGTCGGGTGGTCAGGATCGCTGACTCGGTTGATGCATGTCATCGTATCCCAATTGCGTGGATCGATGCTCATGATGTCAATCACTGGATTGTCTGGACCAGACCCGATCATTTATAGACCGCCGTCATATACCTGGAATGCGGCGTTAAACAACGAAAATAAATGAAATGAAATGGAGCAAAGCAAAACTATTATGGACATTTGTTAAAAGCACCTACTTCATGATGGTCATGACGACAGGGACTAAGGAAACTGTTGCCGCCAGGCCGGACGCCAGGTCAACAATGATGTAGGGGTAAAGGTAGGGACACTCTGTCGGACACCTGCCCGCTGTGCCCTCGTCACCAGGAATCTCACTACATCCCGTGTATGTCTGAAATGTTCGTAAAATAGTGAGTGAGGTTGGTTTATCGCTGCTTTTATCAATATGAAACATTTTATTGAACCTTCTTGATGATGGTCATGAGAATAGGAACAATGGAGACAGTCCCCGCCAGGCCGGACGCCAGGTCAACGATGATGTAGGGGTAAAGGTAGGGACACTCTGTCAGACACCTGCCCGCTGTGCCCTCGTCACCAGGAATCTCACTACATCCCGTGTATGTCTGATATTAAACTAGTGTACAATACATACATAAATACCAATAAATACCATTTGACGATATGCAAGCAGATAACTGTTTTGAAGAAAAGCTAAACAGTAATTACAAATAGTGGCATCAGGGCATTACTCGTATTTAACTGTGAATGATCTGGGACACTTATGAAATGGGGTACCTACGAGACATTTTCGTGAGATACTTACAGTGTCATTCTGAAACTGACACCCCGCTATACCAGGACTGGGGTACCCACAGTGCCAATCTGAGACTGGCGTCCTGCCATACAGGGAGCCACACAGGGAGTGAGATACTTACAGTGCCATTCTGAGACTGACATCCTGCCATACAGGGAGCCACACAGTGAGTGAGATACTTACAGTGCCATTCTGAGACCGGCATCCCGCCATACAGGGAGCCACACAGGGAGTGAGATACTTACAGTGCCATTCTGAGACTGACATCCTGCCATACAGGGAGCCACACAGTGAGTGAGATACTTACAGTGCCATTCTGAGACTGACATCCTGCCATACAGGGAGACACACAGGGAGTGAGATACTTACAGTGCCATTCTGAGACTGACATCCTGCCATACAGGGATTGATATATGTCACGCCGTCAACTCCACACAGAGGCATGAACTCAGTTGCATCACAGTTGCAAACGGTATCGTTGACCATGGCGTTTCTGAAATATATCGGTAATGTAAAAGTCAGTCATACATGGAAGTGTCTTACGTGAATGATGTCAAGTGTTTCTGTTAGAATAATGAGACGATAATGTACAAACACATCACTCTTATTAATGATTCTTCTATTGTCTTTCATGGCATGGCATAAAGGTCCTGGATGATATCAAGTTTTTCTCTATGAATAATGAGTCACGGTGATTACAAAACATCACGACATCACTCGTAAGATTGTCCTATTGTTGCTCGTGACCAACTATCTATTGTCGTGTACAATAACGTCCGAATGTAGCATTGATTTCAAAACACCATTGTTGTATTGTGGTATTTACCTTTCCTAAAATGGGTTTTCAGCATTGTTTGAAACAATGGTCTAATTAATAAATAAAAACGACATAGACATTCTATTAAGCCTACGTGGTCTAACGTGGCGGAGCGTCTGCCTGAAGAGAGAAAGTTTGGGGGTTGGATCCCCGGCCGCGTCATCTCAACAGATGGAACTTGATGACATTAAGGGGCTAAAACAAGGACTGGTCGGCTCGGACTTTGATCCTTTCGCTATTTAAAAGTAAACATAAAGTATTTGTTGTGACTGTATTTCTCTATGACAGCAACTATTCAAATAGTTTATTACGTTTGGTAAAACGGTTTTGTTGTAGATGAGGAGATTTCCAAATTTGACGGATCAGTGATGACGAAAATGATGTCCGATGCAACTCGCTGTGTTGTTTTTACTTGTACCATATGTCCTCATGTATCATCACTATTTGATAGTGATTCACAAAAACGTGCTCATCATGATCATAATCGTACAGTCCACTCTACTTTCATCAGAGTATTCTTATGAATCAGGAATTATTTTGTCACTTATATTTTATTATTGATATTCATGCCAAGCCACTTACCTCGGTCGTGTTTTCTAAGTGAGATATTTGTTTGTTTGTAGTTTAACGCCGCACACAACGCTGCATGGAATCGTATCCGAATTGTGTAGATTGATGCTCATGATGCCAATGACTGGATTGTCTGGTCCATTGTCTGGACTCGATTATTTTCAGACCGCCGTCATTTAACTGGAATATTGCAGCGATAACAAACAAACACTCCTTTGGCTGTAATAAAAGCCATTGACTGTGTCCTCGACCATTGATGTTCCGTCCGTCACGGCTGACACATCTACTGTCACAATAAGCATCTATGTTGTGGTTATAACAACTGACACCTACCTGATGTCACCTGGACACACTAGTTATGACCACTGTCACTGTCACCTTAACCCTCCCCTGGTTATAACAACCGACACCTACCTGCTGTCACCTGGACACACTGTTTATGACCACTGACACTGTCATCTTAACCATCCTCTGGTTGTAAATACTGTCACTTACCTGATGTCACCTAGGCCCTTGATGTTCTGGTTGTCACATCCTAAGACCAACGTGACAGAATAGAGGACAGTTCCAATGGTGACCACTATGGTCGTGAGCTTCACACACCCAATGCTGGTCAGTTTGAGTCGGCTGGTGAGGATGCCCCCAAGTAGAGTGCCCACAACCGCCCATAGCAGCTCCAGTATACCTTCAACACGTGGCCATATGGAGCTTTGAATTTCGTTGAATACTGAATAATATATTTTTGTATCCACTTTCAAACAGGCAGGTTATCCTGTTAATATACATTTACTGCAAAGTCTTTTAAATCTGTCTGCATCACATATGCAGACAATGAATCCGCCTCCACTGGAAACAAATTGTGCGATCTCCTGCTTATGAGTAACCTTCAGACGTCTCCACCTTGATTCATTCACAGAGCTCGGGGAGATCATGAGGAGTCATGACAAGTGAATCTCAATAAACCTGAGTCACTAATGCACGCGATAAAAACATAATGGCAATAAAACCTTGTATATAACGTTTTTCTATGATAAGGTCGCATCATCGCAACTTACCCAATATGAAGTTAGCTTCAGCTGCTGACGTTGCAAATTGGCTCTCAATGTATTTTGGAGCGAATCCTAAATAGCCTCCAACAAAGAACAGAGCACTAGCGGATCCAAAAAGGAGACAGTCGACTGCTGGGTTTTTCAATATCCGTAATATCGACCTCGGCATGTCTGCGGGTACAACAACATATCACAAATTGGTACAGTCATCAGAACAAGAGAACATGTAGCTACCAACTTCTGGTCGGATATTCATGTATGGCGTTTCCGTTGAAGAAATTATTCAGCGAGTGACTGATTGATGCAGACAGATATAGCTTATATCTTGTTGCGTGTGATGTTGTGCCAGCACTTGACGTTGAAGGATGATTGATAATGGAACCAACACTTGGAAAAGCTTTTCAGCATTGCCATAATGTCCATCAGTTTAATTATCACAGACTTATGTTTCCCATTTTATCACCATATGACACCCCTTGCATACAAGCAATCACCTTGGGTACTTGTTTCCCAAATGAGTATTTTTTCAAGCATGTTGCATTGTACCATACCGGGTGTATTGTATTTCTCGCACGCAAGAAAGTGAAACAGGGACTTACCCACAATATCGTTTTTAAGTGACTTGGTCGTTTCAATGGCTTTGACTTTTGGTTTCTTAATGTGCTTTGGAAAGCAGCCCAAGGGTACAGCAACAAGGAGGGCTGCACATCCAAAGACAAGATACCCGAGCCACCATGCCCCGATCCACTGGGGGTTTCGGCTATCTACCTGGGACTCTTGAAGTAAAGACATACCAGTAATATATAGATTCTATTTAAAGGTCCGCGTTTGTATGGCTTAATGAACAATGATTTATAATACTATAGGGTATAGGTTTGTTAACTCCATTGGATAAATAACCCATAATAATTCATTGTGTCTTTTTGTGTATTTTAATGTAAATTCTGTTTAGGTCATGTGCCATTATTCCCTATCAAATATTTATGTGAAGGAAGATTGAATTGAGTTGCTTTTTGTTCACTATTTCCTGCCAGAACAAAACCCACCGCTGAGGTCAACAGGAATGTCGCTGAACCATCCACCAAGACCAAGTGCAACAGCTGGTCCGAGGAACGCCGCCGTCATAATGGTGCCTGCAAAACCATGAACGCAAACATCATAGAAGAAGTACCTTAGCTACAGAACTTCCTCTACACACTCAACTTTCTTTTCTGCATGCACTATTTTCTCCACATGCACAGCTTCCTCTACATGCACTACTTCCTCCACACTCACTACTTCCTCTACATGCACTACTTCCTCCACACTCACTTCTTCCCCTACATGCACTACTTCCTCCACACTCACTACTTCCTCGACATGCACTACTTCCTCTATAGCTGAAGCATATCAAAGTGATGTACAATAGAAAAAAATGACATAGTTTTTCAATAATTTTTCATATTACTGTACCTCACCACACATGTATATAAAATATTTATCTAAACTACAGATCCCCTGGCCTAATAATACATTGTTCTTTTGTGTAAGTTGTGAAAGGGTCCCGAGGCTTTCATTAATCAAACTTGATTCAAGCCACCCGATCCTTTTTTGTATTTCTGCCAGCTAATTATGTATGATTTATATCATACGAGCATTTAATAATCCAAATTACACAGAGAAATGACTCAAATTGCAGTGTCGACATCTAGGTTCGAAATGGAAAACTCGGCTCCTCTCGTTCTGATACATAGTGGCTTTGAATAATGACACAGCAACGTTGTCTCAGAACAATCCTAATGATTTTACAAATAACCATGAACTTTTCTATTTCATAATGAATTAAAATATAAGTAATTCTCATTTCCGAAGTTTTCCTGTTTTCCACATGAAAGACTTCAGACCCTACCTGTGAGTAAGCTCGACTGCTGTTTGTCACGGGAGTTATTGTCAACGTACGGTAAACCCAGGGAGAACCGTGGGGATTTACCCATCCCTTGTATCACCATAAGCACGGCAAGCACATTGTACACCCAATGTCCGTTGTCAGTCGCTTGGTCCTTCGTAGCTGGACATCGCTCATGTTCCTGCACGGAATCCTGACATAGTCTGACATTATGAGAGGAATAGTTTGAGCCGAGGTCCTCTACACGAGGAAGCGATACAGGATTCATGAAGTGTAACAGACCCGACATTAAACTAGCAAGGCCATACACAGCCAGTGCGCAGGACAGGATCCTAGGTATAAAGCGCCTTCCCCCAAAATGACTGAAGAAAAAAATAGTTGAAAGATAACCGATTTCGTTGCAGCTTAGGAGAAGGCCACTTTTTGTACTGCTGAGTCCAAACTGCTTCTCCAAAGAGGTGATCTGAGACACAGTGTGGTACTTGACTGCCTCCAGCACCAGGGATGACACACTGAACACGGCAGTGAACAAGAGGACGTTGTTGAAACACCGACGTCGGCGTCCTCTAGACTCAATCATGCCGCTGTACTCCATGTTGATAATCTACTGCCTGATCAACAGATTAAAGGAAATATACGGGTGTTATTTAAAAATTGCAAAGCATTATTTGTTCTAAACAGGGTAAAAAAAATGTCAGCGTTTAATTACACTGGGTATCATTGTTGTGCGTTGTGAATTCATATGATACAAATTAACCACCTCATGTTCACTTGTTCAGGTATGTTTGATAGATTATGTGACTGTGACTGTTGAGATATATTGATCTCTCCGTTGTCTAACTTGACAGATAATAACTTAATATCAAGCTATTATAAACCTCCGGTGACGTCATCCTATTGTTCTCCAGTCGGGTTAAATCTCATAAACAGGGACGTTGTAATGTCCCTGGGATTTTATATAATGTCCCTGGGATTTTATATAATATACCTGGGATTTATATACTTTAGGATATTCAAGTCATATTTGCTATATAATGTGTTATAATATCCCAGGGATTTTGTATAATGTCGTGTGTATTTTATTAATAAAACTTCCGTTCAGATTGTCACATGTAATGAAATGTAAATCAAATGACAAATATTTTCTTTATATTCCCGAGGATCGAACGCGCAACCTTCGTATCTGTAGCCCAGTGAGTGTACCACTAGGTTAGAGAGGCGTTCATAAGTCGCACTGCTTTTTAGAATGTCCGTACGCCAGCAACAGATATTTTAAGCCCGTTTCTTAATGTTCATGGAAAGTATGTTCGAAACATAAAAATGTTGATAAATGTTGTTTAAAGTTTCTCTTTTCGGTTTATAAGTAAGATAAAACACTCCCCCTCGGGTTGTTATGATATTTAAATCCCTTTCCCTCGGAATATTCCTTGGGAAGCGGGATTTAAATATCATAACAACCCTCGGACGTGTTTTATCCTAATAGTATACATAACGTTGTATGAATCTTCACTGAAACGTCAATAAATGCAATAAACCAGAAGTTGTTATCCATAAAGTTGTATGTTTTATTATTTGCTCACCAACTTCCAGAAGGTAATTTAAACAGTTATAAGTGTATGCTGATCCGTCAGTTACACATTAGTCATCCACATTGAGTGGAATCTTTTCAAAAAGGGTGATCTTTCAGTTATACATTAGCATTGTGTGAAACTAGGGCCACTTTTAAAGTTCTTTGTTTGTTGTTTGTTTGTTGTTTAACGCCGCACTCTGCAATAGTCCAGCTATCTGTCGGCGGTTTGTAAATAATCGAGTCTGGACATGGCATTCCAGTGATTGACATCATGAGCATCGATCCACGCAATTGGGATACGATGAGAGGCATTAACCGCCTGACATGTAAATGTCTGAAAAAGAGGGCACCATCCTATGTTTCAGAAATGCTCCTCCCATACATCCCAAAAGGATCCCTACGATAAGAAAGCATCCATCTTCTGACAGATTTATTCAGTGTAGTCAAAGTTCAAAATACATGATACCATAATTATTGACAGAACGATGCAACAGTGCACACTCTGCAACCGACTCACACATGTATGTTTTAAGAACACCGTGTACATATGTATTAAATATGTACAACAGGTTTTGGTCTGATCCATCTTCCCTTTTCTGACATTTCCTCATTACAAACTCTCTGGACAGAGGTCTTTCAGCGTCATTCCGCCACAGGAGGTAGAATGGTCCTCCTTTGGAGATCAAGTTAGCTCCATCCTTCTGCTCTGTTAAGTCACAGCTCATCTTGTCCTAATTTTCAACCCTTTATACTGCCACGGAGAGCTTTAAGCATGCACCTTGTGGATGGATTCCAGTTCATTTCAAATACATACACGGCTCCAAGTGCACTGTTGTAATCGTTCAGTTTATTATTAATTTTCGTTGTGTTCATTGAAATTCCTGCATTCTGAGTAGCTGAATTGGTCACGTGTTATTGCATTCATTTCCCAATGAATGTAAAAAATTAAGCTACTTTTATTACTACGGAAAGTCGAGGAATCCCAATATTACAGTCGAGGGAATTCCCCTCTGCTCACGTGTATCGTCATGCACAGGACATTAAGCGAAATATATGGATATTCATTGTCCAAAACAACTCTCGGAGGCCGAAGGCCGAGAAGGAATGAAACAGCAAAGGTGCAGGCTCGCTCGCCTGTTTTTTCCCGCTCGCCTCGTTTCCACAACTTTCATGTCTTCGGGTTTCATTTCGAATTAGCATTTTTCCAATTGTGTCTTCTTGTCCTAAGGAAACAATGTTTGAATCTGGTGGTAAATGACCATGTCATTTGAAACAGCCGCCTTCTCCCGAACATATTTGTTCCGGTTCGTTACAGTCTGACTGTTGCAGTTCTTCTGGCCTCTTGACTTGATTGACAGGTCCTATAAACTTTGTTTTTATCATAGTCCTCGTTGATAGGCTACTGACTTTGTAGGCGTGTCAAGTTATGAGCATAAATTACACAATCACCTGATTCATGTCAGGCCACAGTATGTATTCCTACACCCGGAATGTCATTTTTGCCTGCTTTGATATATACAACTGTTTTTGGTTAAATTATTGTAGATAACACATGTTTTCGTTGTCGAATTTAATTATAAGCATTGACTGTGTAATTTGTTTGGTTCATTGAGGTATGAATCGAAAAACCGATGTTCAAACAGTTGTAAGAATGTTCAGTTTGAAACACGGATTCTGAATCTCAAATACACAGTTTTTTAGCCACTTGTAACTCAGAAACCAGTGGTCCAATTTGGGCCAAATTGTTTATGTGTATATATGTAGATCACTATTGTTGAGATAATTCAGATCAGATAACTCTTGTTCGTCTCCCAAACGGCATGTGACACAGTGAAAATTTGCAGGATGAATTAAGATCGGATGTTGCACATATCACGCTTCTTTGACAAAATTGACAAAACTATGCCCAATACAATTCCCTATTTTGACTTGCGGTATGTTTCCGTGTTTTTTTCATGTGAACATTTGACTTTCCTTTGCGTGTGTTTGTGGCGCGGACCGCCGGTAGGACGGAGTGCACTCACCTTTTCGCGAACATCTGGTGTCGTCACTGTTTGATGGTGTTCATGGTGCGGTCGGATTCGTGCAATCAACTCTGTTTTTGGCAGAGATTTGTGGCTATGGAATGAATTTGTCAGTTTTTAGTTTTCAAGGGTACATTTACAAAAGTAACAAAACGTCTCATGCAGTTAAGATACTGAAAGAAGCGCCACACAAATATACAATTAACCACCAAACACAATCTTTCGATCGACACAAGAGCAACACACTGTCTTCCCACAAAGCTTTACTGCAGTGTGTATTTGATTTTATGAACCAGAAATGACCCGCGACCTCTCTGCTGTGTTTCAGAGATTCGTTTTCGTATGAAACCTGGATTCTGGCTTGAAATACACCTATAACTCCGATAGACTGGTCTTATATGTGGCATTAATTAATGTGTCACTTATACCTAGTTCTCATATTTAGATATAGTATTATGAGTCCAAAAAGCTCTCCACGTGATTGCATGACAAGTGGGATGATTTCAGCTTTTCACAAGTAAACTTTACCTTTATGTCGAGCAACGGTTCAGCAGCTCCAGCCCTTGGTGTGTACATTAACACAACTTTTGAGGTACAATCGAACATGCTCTTTCAACGACGATTTCAAAGAGCGTCAAACGACTGTTGCTCAAAAGTTGATTGATCAAGGAACACCATTCAAGGCCTCAGCAAAGCTTTCAAATCGTTTAATGATAGACATGTGAAGGACATTTCCAAATTTGAGGCATCAATGACAAACATCATGTCCATTGCATTACTTATGAATATGGAAAGGGTTTGCCACTTTGATTTACATATAATGGTTATGTTATATGAGGCCTTGTCATTGGGAACAACTACACACTTTTCATGGAGGGGACAGAATGGGTTTATTCCAATTTTGTTTTATCTTTTTCAGTTTGTGCATTTTGCCACTGACAACATCACGCACTGAATTAACAAACATATGCTTCGGCAGCACCCATAATGATTTTTGTTGTGATCCCAACTGGCAAGAGGTTGCTCACGATATTTTGGTCATATTTGAATAACTGACATGGTTGTCATTGTCAACAATAGAGAAGTCACCTATAATTATATGACAACTTGTTGGTAGCATCTTTCGTATAGGGAAATTATACTGTTTCTGATTTCTGAAATTTGGAAAAGTGGAACAATTTGGGAAACATTCTTGTCATATAAATTTAAGGCATCAAATACCTTGTTGGCAAATATCACATTCAGGAACATGCTGGTCTTTGTCCGATTTAGAGGAGTCTGTTTCATGTCAGTTGATCCCTCAAAGGCATTAAGTGAAGGTTACGTATATATCTCAGGCGAATCAGGATGAATTTTTCAAATAAATGGGTCATTCAATTGAAGTAATGTTGTTTCCGCAGGCTGGCCGACCACATATCAAATTGGTGGCTTACTACATACTTTCTCAGAAACAAGAGCGCACCCAATGGAAAGGTGCACATGGCGTACAACTGTTTTCTGATATTAAGGTAATATATATGTTACGATTTGCTGAAGTTTAGTTTCTGATACGATTATTGAACCACAAACCCAATTAAATGTATGCTAATCATATGCAGATAAATGGGGTCTCACGGTTTTGTCCGATTTTGTCAAATTTGTTAAAATATATATACTCTGCTAAAAAAGAAACGCAAATGTCATTTTAGATGTATATTTTATAGATCATATACATAATCAACAAATGGTAATCGATTGTTCAAATTTGGCACACCTAATTGATCCAGGTTCCTTGTCGCACATATGGAACAGTAGATTTTCAAGATGGAGATCATCTGTTCTCAATATTTTGTGTGGCCACCATTAGAATCCAAAACTGACTGGCATCGCTGTTCCATTGAAGCAGTCAGATCCCGAATGGCCGGGGAATGTCCACTCACTCTGCCTGCAGTGCTTGTGACAACTGTCGGAGGTTCTGTGGTTGTTGCTGACGTACTCGCAGTCGTTGATCCAGAGCACCCCATAGAGA